ATGTAATGTGTACATAAGTACACCTTTTACGATGTAGTTGACTTGTATGAGATGAGACCGGAGGCCAATAACATTTATATTGCATCTTATGTAAATTATAGATTTCATGAAATGTTATGAAAATATTGAAAAATCACAAGTTATTGTCTCACTATGGTTGCATCGGGTGTGGGAATTTCATTTTTATTCTTTCATAGGGTTTCATTAATCATATTTGAAGTGTGGCCAAGGGCCAAACGGTAATTTGATACCATTTTGTATTTTTGGTTTTCAAAATTTCGATTCCAAGATCATTTTTCTCATTTTTTGTCACTGGGGGTTCGAATTTTGAGTTGGGCTTCTTGGGAACTGTGGACTATTCCCGCGCGCTTAGAATCATTTATTACACTCATGTGCACATTCGTTTCAACCTATAAATGCATTTAGGGTTGATATGGAAAAATAGATATACCTTAACTTAGCGATAAAAGGCAACTAAATGTTGACCAGACCTCTTATACTTTTGAGCGATAATATTTCGTTATCAAATACAACGATTTCACTGGATAAGAATTATGATATTTCTTATCCAGGATAATGAAAGACGACGTGATTCAACAGGGTAAGGATAATCCTAGCATAAGGAAGTTAAAACGGTTAAATCATATCCCTTCAAATATGGCAACGAACAAATCTCTTCTGATTTTGCACAGGCGGATTTCCTCTGATCCCGCAAATAAACCAAGGGAGAGCGACTATAAGAAGGAAATCCTATCGAGCAATAAAGGTATGAGAAAAAACTCCTAAACAAAAGATACATAGTTATTATGTGATACGATTACAAGTACTAACTTGATCGTCGAAGGGTCCTTGGCTGGCACCCCACCGGTGCCATTCGAAGTGACGTCCCTTTGTTTTGCAGGTAAACACTGTCGTTCCGAGTCGTGAGGATTTACGCACCAACAAGGGTCAAATGCATACTTGGTGTAAAGTTGTATTTTTTGAGTTTTAAAGCTTTAACTGATCTAGGGGCATTATGGCCATTTCACAGTGTGTTTTTTTCAATTTCTCCAGCGTAGCCGGGTAGAAAATTTGATTTCGGGTGTGGCTTCTTCTTCGTTTTTTTTCAGAAAAATTCGTTTGATAGCCCATTTTTGCTCTCTGATGTGGACGGTTACTGTAGCAGCTTTTGCCCTCTTGATATCTTCTGATATAGGGGCATTTTGGGGATTTCGTCGTGAGTTTTTTCTGTTTCAAACATAAAACTCGATTTTAGGGGGGTTTCTTCTTCGTTTTTCTCTAGAAAAATTTGTTTCGGACCTTGTTTCGCCTCTCAGTTCTGGCTGAATCTTTTTTCCCCCTAGTATGTCATGGTGCTTGTCGGGATGCTCGTGGGGTGCTCGTGGTGCCCTGTCTCGACGCTGTGACGTCGATTTTTGTTTTCGTTCGTTCTCCTTCGTCTTGACTCCAAATCGAGTGAACTTTTTTTTGAACTTGACTAATTTTTCGCTGTCTTTGCAACAGTGTGCTCGGTTACACCCAGATCTTCCTGAATAATTACCAGTTTACCCTTTTAGCCTTAAGTGCTCGTTTCTCTTCGTCATGCCGTTTCTCCTTCGTCCGGACTCCGAATCATGCGATCTTGAGTCCATCTTGATTAATTTTTTGTTATCTTTTCAGCGGTATGCTCAGTGGCACCCGAATCCATATTTTCAAAAATAACTATTTTGCCCTTGGGGATATTTTTGTCTAGTTTTTCTTACTTTTCCGTTTCCGCTACTTTATTTTGAGTTCTATGAAGTCACGAATGTGTTTCGGGAATGATATACATTCTAGGGACGTCATTTCTATGTAAAATGACTATTTTGTCCCTGGGGGGCTTAGTTGTTATTTTTCTGATCTTTTGCTTCCGCGTCATTTCTTATTGAGTTCCATGACCTCATGGAAGGTCATCAAAGTGTCTTAAAGGTGTGTTGTGCCTTGGGAGACTATTGTCTTGTTTCTTACTTCCGCATCTGGATCCGCTATCGGGTCAATTTTTGGTTCATCACAGGATGCACTGGCTTGAAAAATCAGGGTCGTCACATGTAGCATGATGATATGATTAGATATATGTCAAAGATGATAGGAAAAATTAGATTTAGTTACAAGATCTAAACAAATTTGCTTTTTTTGGAACATGCCGATATGAATAGGTAATTAGTTACCAAATCTAAAACTTAAATTCTCTATAATGACATTTGATTATTTTTTTTCCCCTATAACATTGTCCTCCTAATGGTATTTATTTTATTATTGAGCAAAATTATCCTTTTACAAGCTAAATACTCTCCTTTAAAAGAAATCCAAGCTCTTGAAAAATTGTGTAGTATTTAGTGGCCTTATTGTTAGAACCCTCGACTACATTATAAAGTACGTCCGTGTTCGAGTTCTCCCCTCCCTCATTAAAAAAAAAAAAAAAAAAAAATAGCAGGCTCTCGAGAAATTGCTTTAAATGAGAGAATCTAAATTCTGAAGGGATTGTACTGGGCCTTTCAGATGGTTATTTTATAGCAATATAGTTGAGTGGTTTAAGTTGGCCCATTAAAATAATTACCGATATATATATATATATATATATATATAGTTGAGTGGAGTAAGATGGTAGTTTGGTCTTTTTAAAAATTCTTTTATCATCTAGGAAAAAAAAAAGAAGAAGAAGAAGAAGAAGAAGAAGTAACTGTTTTGACAAAGTTATCCTCTAATGGTCTCTTGACATTTAACTTTTAGATTTGGTAATTATTTAATTTTATGGTCTCTAAAAAGCAATTTTGTTTAATTTGTTCAATAAAATCTAATTTTTCCAATGACATGTAGTTATGTTACTCATGTATCATAATTCATAAAATCCACAATTAATAGTTGATACTGTATGCGAGGAAAAACATACCCTTTGAATTAGAATGAAAATTAATTACTACAGTATTTAGCAATTATGTTTTGAAACTCCAAAAATGGGTCTTTAATTAAAAATGAAGAAATAATTTAAAATATATATATAATGGTATCATCACGATACAATCACATTTGGTGCTTAAGGATACTTTTCAAAAAAGGAGAGGTTCTGCACGCTCACTAATTATTGGATTGAATTCTCCAACTAGTAATAATGCCATATCAATGATTGGTGGGTGTGCAGGACTTCTTCTCTTCTGCAAAAGATTCGTATCGGAGATGCATAAGGTGTTGAAAAAAGTTTAGAGATTGAGGGAGAGAGAGTGTCCGTTAATTGAGGGGAAAAATGATTGAGGGGGATTTTGGTATGAGTATTGTTTTTGCATTTTTATTTTTATCGAAGTAAAATTAACGTTTTGTTGTATGATGTTTTGAATAATAATTGAAAACATATATGGTAATGTTTATTTATTGTAAAAACATAAATAATGGTAAAAAAGTGTTTCAAGTTTAAAAAGTATAATGGGTAATTTAAAGCGTTTAGTTTATCAAATATTTTTTTGGTACTATTTATTACTACAGTAGTGACATTGTACAAACCTAAACATTTTTATGAAATTATATATATTTTTTATTGCTCGTTGCTACAATCAACATAAACAAAACACCAAACATAAAATGGGTAACGAAGAGGCCTGAGTTTGCAAACTTTTCTAATTGGATAGAGAGAGATAAATGGTACAAGGAGCCAGGATGTGATGGGAAATAGCAAAAGAGATAGGAAGATAAAAAGAAATTTTAAAATTGAATTAAAAATATAGAGATAAGAAAGTATTGCCAATCATAAATACATGGGAAAATCTTTTTGAAATTGAATTTTTTTTAGAGCATAACTTTAACAAGACGAAAACATGGTATGCTAAAATAAGAATGACCAATAATAGCATGAAATTTATAGAAAATACCACGAAAATCTTACTACATTAATGTTTATCTAATCTATTTATTAGCAGTGAACGGTCTAGTTAAACCGGGTTAATTGTACTGTAAATGTCCAATATATAAAATATAAAAAATGAGACTCATCAGTACCAGATGTCAATTACCAACATTAATTGATGCACCAGACCTTTTCATAAAAACAAGAGGATTTGCAGTTTGCAGTATTCGAGTCTACATCAATAGTAATTTTTAGAGTATAATATGTCAAACTCTTTGGTCTACGTGTGTGTGTATATATATGTGTGTGTATATCTACACACACACTAAGTACTACTATATATTTCGGGAAAAGTTTGGCCTATTGGTTTTGCTCCTTGTAACGCAAGAAAGCATCGCGGACCTAGAGGCTACAGCTGCGAATGTGGGGTCCACTGCGTATATAGCGTCCGTAACCTTGCTTTGACAGTTCGGGTTCGACCTTTTTTCCAAAAAGCTAGAATGGCGCAGGGTGCGCATAGTGCCCTCTTTCTCAATTTCCAAATCCCCTGCGCTCTTAGTGGGCCCATCAGATGGTAGTTTCTTCACACATGGCAGCCTCATACCTTTCCGTGCGCAGTTAGCACCGTGTGCATGTTAAACAAAATTCTTGACCCCGCCTTCAAAAGAATCAGTAGTCACATTTCTATGAGGCTAACGAGTTCGGTGTGCTCATTGCGCTCCAGGAGATTTCCCGCTATTGATATCTCAACCGGGTCTACGTGTCAACAAAAGCGATAATTGCGCACTGCGCACTCTGCGCATGTCAGCCGCCTGCCTATCTGTTCATGTACCAGTAACGCTTCGTTTCTGTTTGTATTCTCATACTTTCACTAAAACCCTCTCTCTGTAATCAGAAACGCCAACTCTCTCCATACTTGCTCTGTTTTCAGACCATTGGCTCTCTGCGAATCTCTGCAGCGGTAAGAACTTCTCAACGCTATGCATAAACTCGTCATCTCTTCATATATATATATATATATATATCTATATTATATATCTCATACACACAAAAACACTTGTATCTGTTTATTCGTTCAAGATCTGTGTACAAACTGTCTTATTAAATTAAAGATCTTTATACACACTCTGTATGTAGTTTTCCAAGGATGGCAGAAACAACCCACAAACGGTCTCTAAACAACAAGAGACCCAATGAATCGGAGAACATCGACAGGCCAAGAAAACGAGTAACAGAGATCGTGTTATACGACGACGCTGTCGAAAAGATTTACGATGTCCAAGTGTTGTTACCCAACCGTACGAGTTTGGGGCTAAAGTTTCGTGAACATGACAATGGGATGCCTATTGAAAAGTTCACTGATATAGTGAGAGTCGAGTACTTCAGGGCCATGAAACAGACACAGTCTCAGAAGAGAAAGATTAATTGGAAAAGCAAAGATCTACATTTTGTGGATAAATATGAGAATGTGATTAAGAAAAGAGTTGATTTTGAGAAATTCAAGTCGAATAACAGCTACATAAGGCTTCATGTGAGTATCTGTTGCATTATTGTTTAGCATCTGTTCTTGGTTAAACTTGTTTTTACTTATTTGGTGTTTATCCATGACTAGGATGGGTTGGGCGAAGCTGAACTTTATGAGGTTGGTGGCGTATTTTTCATTGATATGTGATTGGAACTATATTTTTTGGTGAACTGGCTATGAAATACAGTTCTTTGGTTGATTCTATGGGCATGTCCTTGTCATTTAAATTGTGAGTTGCTTGTTTGGGTTTGCAGAACATGTGGGATTTGACCCCGGATACAGAGTTGCTAATGGAGCTTCCTGAAGAGTACACCTTTGAGACAGCCCTCGCCGACTTAATTGTAAGTTTTCAAGGTTTGAATCTAAATTTGTTTTTGATGTTGATGTTCATTTGGGCTTTAATTCCTTCAACTTGTTTCCAGGATAATTCCTTGCAAGCAATATGGTCTAATGGTGTTAATGAGAGGAGATTAATTAGGTATGACATTGATGTTACATCCCTTTCAAGATGTTGGCTTTGCTAATATATAATGCAAGTTTACTTCTAATTAAGGGTTTCTATTATACTTACTTTAAGAACTTGTGATAAATGGGTAGCAGGAACTCAAATGGGTCCGTTTAGAAAGGACTCATTTGACATGCACTTGGAACATTTTATATTATTGATAATTAAATATTGACTTTGATTATCATAGAAGAGAATGTGATTGTAGCCATTGGCAGAGCTAGAAATTTACTTCAGAGGGGGCAACCATAACGATGATATGATAAAAAATTTAAACCAAAATAATAAATAGGAAAGGAGGGGTCTTTTTTGAATTTTGATTCTTAAAAATTTTGTGGGACCTGCTAGAGGAGAAAAGACATGGGTATTTTCTGAATTTTTAAAATCTTGTTGGGCAAATGAGTTAAAAAATTAGAGGTCTTTTTGAATTTGGGAAATTTTTCTTAAGGTCTTTTGTGAATTTTGGAAAATTTCAGTGGGGCACTTTAAAAATGATCAAATTTTGTGTATAGAAAATGAAAGTAATAGAAAATTCCAGTGGGAGCAATTGCCCCCCACTGGGCCTGAAGTGTTTCCGCCACTGATTGTAGCTGACCCCCTCTATATCTGTATAGATTCGCTTTTGTTGAATTAAATGAACACCAATAATATCTTCTAATGCAATATTTGCCAGTTAACTGTTAATCCAATAATATATTCAAATGCAATATTTTGCAGTTAATTGTTGATCTCTGACCAGTGACCCTGCAAGTTTCTTAGTTTTTATTTATTTATTTTTATAATTTTAACTAATGTACTTTCTCTTGAGATCCTGCATTTTTGTATGTTGTTGCTGGGTTGATCCGGCGTGTTTACAAAATAATGCAAGCATCTTGCATTGACTTATTTCAGGGTAGGTTCGTAGTTTCCCTATAAATTAGGAGTTACACAAAACAAATTTGTTGGTTTATGCTTGACAACTGCATACCAACAAATTTCGCTATGTTCTGTGGAAACAGATGACTGATGAGTTGCAGTAAACATATTTATTCTTTAAACAAAGCACACAAACACATATCTGTATTGGTGTGCTTAGGAAAAACTTATTACTGCCTCAATCAGAAATGAAGTTAGTATAAGGGAGAAGTGTGGAGGTGCAACCAAAATTACCTTTGCATCCTAATGCTTCTGAAATAACAAATGATGTCAATCTCAGAGTTTGGATTTAGTAATACGTTAATCGATAGTGCAGAGATGGTAAATGGTAGCTCTCAAGCAACCGAGAGAGATTGCAAATGTTAACTCTCAAGCAACCGACCCTACTGTAAAACAGTGAACTAGTGCCAGAAAGAGATTCCATTTGTGGAAGGATCATTATTGCTTTGCTTTAGTTTATCAGGTCATCATAATCATTCATTTACTAGGCCTTGCCTCACTTTTCTTACAAAACCTGTTTCTTCACTAAATAAAATATAATTTGGAGTTTCCTGAAATAAAAAGATCAGAAGATTTTTTTTATAAAAAAAGTTGTGATACATGTCTTTTGTATAGGAAAATGCTCTTTTGAGGGCGCGTGCTCACCGTGAGCACGGCCACCAAGACTTGCTCTTTATATGGTATGATGTCATCCACTATATACTGGAATCAAGCTATGCTATGCTAGCATTTTGGTTATTTTTTGTCAGTCATAAATAATCTATCTGCGTATCTAAATGGTATATGTCATAAATTGGTATAAAATGGCTGTTCACATTTGAACTGAAAGTGGCATATTGTTCCATGTTTGCTTAATGAAAGCCAATTAGTGGGTTGTGGGTGACTTTAGAGGATTTCCTAATGGAACTCATTGGCGCATTTAGGGGCGCAGTTGGAACTTGGACTCATTCATGTTCCACAATTTGGATGAGATGATGGTTCAATTAAATATAGGATTATTTTAGTCACTGGATGTTACACTGTATAAAGCAAAACACTGTTTTTTTTAATAAAAAAAATCTAAAAGGAAAAGACATCGCATATAAAGAGTAAGAGAGGAGATAGAGCTTAAAATACTCATCCTACTGTCCCTTTCGGTTATTTCGATTTATTTGCTTCTTAACGTTTTTGTATGAGTGTGTCAACAATGGAGAACTGAGAGGAGAGAGAGCTAAAATTACTCATCCTACTATACCTTTCACTTATTTCAATTTATCTGTTTATTCCAAAAGTTGACCTTTTTGTAATGATTATGTCAACAATGGAGAACTGAATGGGCTGGAAATGGGAAAAAGGTGGACAATCTGAAAATCCTGTTACTAATATCAGAAGAATACAAACAATTGAAGTAAAAATGCGATGGCTTGAATAGACAAGAAATAGTGTTAATATCCTCATATGGTGCTTATATTCTAGAAAGAGGATATAGAAATTATTTATTTGATTCATATTTTGGATATATCATTTAGAATATAACTTTGCTTTTAGTTTAGATTATTCTTTATAAACTTAAATACATCAAGGTCTTTTAGCAGCTTTACAATTTTGGATTATTTTTTCTTTCCAGTTCAACTTGTTTGGATGAACATTTGTGGTTTTTGTGTATGCATTGTGCTTCAGCTTTGTTGCGTATGTTACTCAGTTCTAGTTGGCTGTGTTTTAGCTGCCGTTGCTTGTCTGGAACGAATATCATTTTGCCTGAATCACTTGAAGATGATCATTTTACTTTATTTGCAGTGTGGAAATGTTAGAGGACAGGATTTCAATTTTTGATACTGGCCCTGGGATGGATAATACCGACGAAAACTCTATAGTGAAGTGGTATGGTGTGGCATTTTTTTTTTTCTTAGGACTGTTAATTACCTATTTCATGTGATTGGATATCTTTATGCTTTGGTATTATTCTTGGAATGAATCCTTAAAATGTAGTTACTAGATATTTTGTAAAAGGAAGTTTAGAGGGTCCATCTCAAAAGCATCAAAAGAATTATTTCTAGCAATTGAATAAACATCCAAGAAAACTTAAAAATTAAAATTGAGTTGGATAAGGTGTAATTCCGAAGTATGTGTGTGATACATTTTAGTACTAGGAACTAGTTAGCGTAATCTGAGAAATGTTTAGTCACTGTTGGTCCTTTACAACTTCAGGTTGTTACCGTTGTTATTCATTGGCTGGTGCTTAAAGAGTTTCCCTGCGTGTTATTGAATTGAGATTTACTAATCAACTACTACATGTTGACTGATTTAAATCTCGTGGCATTCTTTCAATGATGCGGTTTACTTTTATATTCCATAATTTTCAAGGGTTTATTTGAATTATTAGTTGTTATGGTACTTCGCTGTTTGTTTATGAGAGGATTATTTCTAGAAACAGAAGAAGGAATGTCCAAGAGCAAAAAAACTATGAACTGCTGAAACATGTTATCCAATGGATATAATTGCCCTATATAACTGCTAAATTCATCCTAGCACTATAGGAATCAGTAATAATTCTTTCTTAAAATGTTCCTGAGGTAATGCATAGTTTGTTAAGTTTGCTACCAAATGGCTCTATTATAAATAGTTTCTGTTGTTCTATCTGCATCTAACTTTTATATTTTATTATTTTACATTTAAAGTTATTTTTGAAATTTTAATTTAATAACGGTGCTTCATTTTTATGTATTTTTCAAATCGTACCTTGTAGGGGAAAAATGGGAGCCTCTCTTCATAGGTCATCTAGAGGACAAGCAATAGGGGGCAATCCTCCCTACTTACTGGTATGGAAATTGTGAAATTTAAGTTTGGCATGTTATTGTAGATTCACTAATTTAAATATGTTTTTGAGTTATACAGATAATGGGAAATTTGATGAAGCGAACTTGAATTAGGTTTGGAAATCAACAAATTATAAAAAAGCTTGACATTTCAAAATAAAGCGTCAGCTAAATTATCCATTTGCATCCTTAGAAATTGGAAGTGCCTATAGAACTTCAATTGTGTAGTTTGCTTGGTTTCTTCAGATATTTGGCTTTATGGTGTTTGGGGCACTGGTGGGGAGGAGGGATTGTGGATTTTGCAACCACTTCGCAGAGTGACACCAAGTGAATTTCTTAACCAGAAACTGTGAAGGCTGATGGTTTATTTAATTGTCAAGTGACTAATTTGTCTTGTTTTAGAGAGTATTGTACTATTGTACACTGCTTGAGTTGTTTGGTTGGAGGAATATATATATATATATATATATATATATATATATATATGTATATATGTATATGTAATTTGCGTTTTAGGTTTTTTATTCATGAGATTTTGGTTTCTATTATAAAAAACGGTTTTTGTGTTTTAAGTCTTTATCATTTTCATTGTATAAGCTTTGTGAAGGCTACTCAAGATGGTTATAAATTTTCAGTCTCATTTGGGGTCTATATGTATCAATTTTAATGAAGGCCATCTAAAATGGCTATACACTTATTCAGCACCTTTGGGGTGCCATAAATTACATAATACCACTGTTCCTACAGTGGGTTAAGAATTTCTTGAACAGTTGATGCTATTCCAGTGTCATCTCCCAATGGATGTGGCAATGGTTTCCATTGACCGCTGTGACTTACATTAAGCTATTTCTTTTGATCATTGTGGTGCTATTTTTATTAATTAAAAAATTGTATTTTGTTTTTCAAGACATAAATTCAGGTTTCAAGTAGAGAGGTCTACTAAGCTCTATCAAAAACTACCTTCCTATTTGGGGAGATTTTGAATTGGCCTTTAGGTTAAAGAAAAATGGTTATATAAAATTTAATACTTGTAGAAGATAGGTGCTCAAACCAACTTTGGGGTTTTGGGTTTCTATGATGTGAACACGAGCAAGATAGACAGAAAAATAAAAAATTACTTTCAATGATACAACATCTGATAAAATCTGATTTATGGATTCTATATCTATGCTAATTCAGCTCTTGCCAACTGAAACTGATCCCTGCAGTGTGGCAGCCATTATTTTCCCTATTTGTTCATTCACTAGAGCTCTCATTAGATTCTTAGAATTTTTTTTTCCTAACATTGAATAAACTATAGGGTAAGGCTGTCAAGTGGGTGCACTAATGGAATATTTTGTGATCTATCTTGCTAATCTGTACAGTTTTTCTGCTTTGCTTATATCTGATTATGGACCAATGTGATAACCCTAAACCCTTATTAACAAGGTGAGATTGGTCACCTTCAATTGAAATAATAGAGAAACGAGTTATGTGATGGTGTTAGCCAAATGAAAGTGACCTTGTACACCCGAAGTCATTTGTTATTATTTGATCTTTTAAATATTTGATGGATAAAGGAACCATAATGTTCTGGTAAGCTCTGCAGTCATAACTTTCTTGGTGGAGCTGTATGCTTTGTTATCAAGTCTATATTATTAAAGAGCTGTTCTGGGTTACTGCAGCCAGCCTTTGGAATGTTTGGATATGGGGGACCTATAGCATCTATGCATTTAGGCGGGTATGTGTTTATGAACAAATGTATTTCTTTCCTCCTCCTTTTTTCCCATTCTTTATTTGTTTTTATATTATTTTATTTTATTTATTTTTTCTTCGGACAGTATTATCCTTGAGTTTGTTCATCACTTATCCATTTTATTATTACCTTGTTACAGGCATGCTTTGGTTTCTTCAAAGTCAAAAGAATCGGAGAAGGTCTATATCTTGCGCCTTGAGAGAGAGACACTACTAAGCAATTCTGGATCGGAAAAGACATGGAAGGTAATCAACTTTCCTTTATAATTCACTACCTTGTTATAAGGGTTTTCTCCCTTCTTATTTTGATGTTATTTTATTTTAGACCGATGGTGGAGTAAGAAATCCTTTTGATGATGAAATTCAGAAATCACCACAGGGTACCTTCACAATGGTAATTTCTGTCACAAGTTAACTTTGTATTTGTCATTTTTCCAATTATTTCAGGGTTTTAAGGTCTATTATGCTCAGTTAGCCTTTGCAATATTTATACGGTCCTTTTCTTTTCAGATTGATAATATTGATTCTTAATTTTCTGTCACCAAGATTAGCTGGAATTATATATATCTTGTAATTGCCCTTAAGAGAGTTTCTTCACACATAATTCCTGAGATGTTTATCTATCTAAAATGCTCAAGGTAAAATTTGTCAAATTTTGGGTTGCTCCACCTTGGCACTCTAGTGATTTGCTTTTATTTATGAAATAATAAGAAAATTTGATATGTCCACAAAGAGTTTGAAAATCGATGCAGATGAATAGTATTACTAGAATGCGGGTCTGGAATTCCTTCTTCTTTTTTTGGGATAAATTTTTTATGTTGGTCACATATTTATTGAGGTTTGAAAGGGTTCCACAACATGCGTTATTTCAGGTTTTTTTTGGGATTTTTTGAAGTTTTATATTCCCATTATTTGCATCTTAGATATCTATATTAGGTTGAAAGTTCCAGTGAGGAGGTATTATTTTTTTTACCCTTAGTTGGTACTCATGAACACATATGCCTCCACTAAGGCTTGAACCCCTGACCTCCCTTTGAGAAGTAGGGGCCTAATACCGCTAGGCTACTGGCCCATTGGTCAATGAAGAGGTTTTAGTTTTTTTATGTTAGTCTGAATATGTTTAAGCTTAGTATGGTTTAGATATGGTTTGTTCTTTCAATATTCTTAGTCATAATTTGTAAGTTTTACTTTTAGCTACATTTCCTGTTTGCTGAATTGATTTTAAATCTTGTAGAGATGCATAGTGATGCTTTGACCCAGAAGTGGAAAAAATGGTCAAATTGCTACTTGATGTTGTAATATTGGTCAATAGTTATATGCTCCTGTGGTTGATAAGATTTCAGAATTCTTCTTGGGGTTGGATCGCAGAGCATTGTTCCTTTCCCTATGTGATTGAATGATTCCTTTGTGAGTTGGAGCATTGTCATTAATTTAACATTGTAAGGGCTATGTGACTTTTGCCTTTCATGCTTGATGTGGGTGTAAGAGAGTAAATTTTTTGATGACTTGATCACCATACTATTGGTCAAAAAGAAGTTTACTTGATCATATTTAAAATTCGACCCACTAGTGCGGGTCTTATGATGAACACGTCTAGAAAATCTTAAGGCTTTGTTTGTGACGCCGTTGTTATTTAAATGTCTACCTTGTTACCCAAAATTGTCATGTTGTGCTCGACTACTCATGCTGACATCACATGACATGGATGTGGGTTTACAGGCCAAAGTGCAACATAGTTGTCGTACTACTTTGTCGTATGGGTGAAGAATATGGGGGGGAGGTAAAGGAAGAAGAGAAAAGAAGAAGAAAATACTTAACTTTTAACGCAATTCGTCTTTACTGGAGTATGGAATTTCACACCAAATGGTGTTATAACTTATTTTCGTAGCTGATATGTTGGAGTTTTAAGACAAAGAGACATTCCATTGTGCATGTTCTTCGCCGATGACATAGTTACATAGTAGTACTAAAGAAAATTTAGCAATAAAATTTGGAGATGGAGGAACACATTAGAATAAAAAAAGGTTTAAAAATTAGTAGGACTAAAATTGAATATATTGAATGTAAATTTAGTAAAGAGTCAGATATTGATAATACATGCTTCAAAACCAAAATATTGTCGAAAGTGACCATTTTTTATACTTAGGGTGATGTAGGACCAAAATGGTCTAATACTAAACTAATTCAAGACAGAGGATGCTCTGATACCTAATTAATGCTGGTCGGATAGTCTTGTTCTAATGCTGATTTAGAACCAGAATGAACAAAGGGGATGAGAATTAGAAGATGAGACGAGGCTGGATAGACAGATAGAGAGGTTGAGAAGACAGATTGAAAAGATAGGCTAGATGCAACTGAGTGTTGAGAAGAGCAAAAACAAAGAAGGGGGGAATAAGACAGATAATTCTCTTAAAAGTCATGGCAATATTCCAATAATCAAAGTTGACTTGTTTGATTACATATGGCTCTTTATATAAGCACAATATAAGGCAAACCTTATTAAACCCTAAATTATGAAAATACCAAAATATTCCTACAACAAAAAAATGCCGGGAAAAAAAATTAACCCTAATTACACCAAATCCCTAATTTCAACTTATTCTCGAGTTTCTTTTAGAGACCACCCTCCTCCTCTTATGTACCGTTTTCTAATTTTTAATATGGGTTCATAACTTTATTCTTTATTTGTGAGCTGTGGAAAGTGTCTTGGAATCTTAATATATATGTATATATATTTTTCTGGAAGTTAGAAAAAAAAAAAGCGTCACAGAATCTTAATATTGTTTTAAGCATAAGCATACTACTATTAAGATTGTAGTACATATGTGTAGCGAGCTAGTTTTAATTGTATATTGTTGTAAAATATTTTACAGGTTGAGATTTTTGAGCCTAAAATGAAAAGCTTGGACATATTGCAACTCCAGAGCAAATTGAAGGACATCTATTTTCCTTACATTCAGGTTTTCTTGTGCCAAATAAAAAAATTTCGTTGTTGATATCCCTATTTTGGTAAAGTTTGTTTTGCCTTTTTGTTCCACCTTGTTGCTCTAGTCCCAGTGGCTGTAGAAATGTTACTGTTCTGTTGCACTTTTGCTTAAAAAATGCTCCAAAAAGACACTGGAGAAAATATTTCTTAGTTTTTTTCTTTGTTAAAAATTCTTGCCTAGTTTATTTGCCTTTTTCTTACCAAGACATTTGTATGATTAAAATTATTGTAATGTTGTTTACAATATTAAAACTCACATGCAATGAGTAATTTGAACCCCTTACATCTTTGTGTTGAACCTTTTGATTTAATAGGTTAATTTGTTCTTGTGACAACTTCAATCGGCATTGAAAAGTGTGATAATTTTTTTTTCTTTTTTGGGAAAAGTAGTTAAAAATATTGTTTTACTGCACGTAAACCATCCACTTAGTTCAACCTTAGTTCAAAAACTTGTGCGGATTTGGCGTCTGTTGGGGAGCTTCTATTGAATTTTGGGTTGGGATGGTTTGGGCTTTGTTTAAAGGTTTCATACCTTGTGTGTCTTTTCTAACCCCTCAATCCCCCTAGCTGCATGCCTTTTTTATTTTGGCACATCCAGAAATGGGAAGATGGACTTCTGTGCGATGGAGGGAGTAATAGCACTAATCCAGATATTGAGAACTCTAGTTTATTCCAGAAAGGCATCATTGAGATTGTGAATAAAATGACTAACTTTCTAGTTATTGCATATTTAGTCATGGGAGACTTTTAATAAATGAGGACCTGGGTGGTGCTCTGGAACTAGAAGCTGGTTGTTTTACACCAAGTGAAGGAAAATAATACATTTTCTTTGAGGGAACATGCTTAGTTAGGAAATATGTTTTGAACTTGCCTCACTAAATTTTGAACCAACACCTAAAGCCTTCCTTCCATCACAAATAATTAAAATGACAGTGCAATTTGTTTTATTTTCTTCCTATTATTTCTTATTAGCATTAGGAATGCATTTTTCAATCCTGCATTTGTCTTATTATTTTCCAAAATTATTATACTTAAGATTTCACTTTTTTGTGATTATGTGTTGTGTCATTCATTGTGCAGTGTGATGAAGTTTCCAGTACCGGCAAAACTATTAGGCCGATTGAGTTTCAGGTTTGATATGCTACAACTACATATATATGCTTTCCTGTCATTGGCCTTTTTTGCTTCTTCCGTGAATGTACATAATATTTTACTGATAATAGTACTTAGTAATTATATGCACTCTGTAATCAACTAATGTCAACAGCATCAAGTTTTATTCTTACTTTTTGTATGTGGAGATCTGTTTTGGTGGCAGACTTTAATAACAGATTTCCCTGGACCTGACAACCCCTCCCTGAAACCACTGATTTCTATTTCTGTGATTCTCTGGTAGATAATGAAATAAAGCTTAGAAAGTATCTTAATGTCTTAATGCAGAAGGAATGAGAAGGTAAATGATGAAATACATTATCAATATAGAGGGCTTATTGTCCTCATCTTTCTTCAATTTAATGGTTTGTATAACTGATTGTTATTTTTTAAATAGATCTGGAGCTTAATTTTCTCTCATATAGTATGGCCACTTCTTGTCTTCTTCTTTCTTTAATTTAAAGGATTTGTATAATTGATATTTTCTTTTTTATATATCTATATCTATTTATATCTTTACCACTATTAAAAATTTAAGTGTGTAGATTTGTGAATTTATATATATATTTTCTATAATTTTTTTAATCAAATAATGTTATAAAATTTTAATACAAAAATTTGGTAACTCCTGGAATTCCCAATACTAATACAATTTTGATACCTCTTGAAATTCTCAAGAGCAATAGGATATAGAATAAATTATTTCTTAATACACCAAAAGCCACATATGGTCTGATGAGTCATCTCTCTTTATATGCATAGACATACACACCCAAATGTTTTCTTGATTTATTTGTTATTGACCATGTTTTATTTTTTGGACAAGTAAATATGGTATAAAAAGCGATCAAAAGGGGAACAAATAGGGCCTCTAAACGCCCAAAGATTCTAAACCCTCAAAGAGTCCAAAAGATGTACAAGCTCCTCCAAAATTTACAATTTCTCCATAGAACCCAGCAAAAAAGGTTACTAATAATGTAGAACTTCAACATCCTAATAGGATTCTCCGTTCCTTCAAAGGATCTCCTATTACTTTCAAAGCCACAAACACCACCAGATGCATAAACGTGTAACCCTCTAGAAATCACAAACTTGCCCCTATACCCCCACCCCCCAACACACACTATACAATTTTTCCAAGCCTCAACCAAGCCTTTGTAGGACTTAGGCATAACCCACTGAGCCCCAAACAAATGCAATATCAAAATCCAGCAACCCCGAGCCACTGGACAATGCAAAAGAAGATGATCAACCATTTCCTTGTCATTCTTACACATGTAACACCAATTGACCACAATATGTTTCCTCCTCTTAAGGTTATCCTGGATCAAGATCTTCCTCAAGATGGATGTCCATGCAAAAAATGCCACTTTGAGAGGGGCCTTCTAATGCAAGTAGCCCTCCACGAGAATGGTGGGCCCGGAGTATCTAACCGAACCCTATAAAAAGACTGAACATCAAATGCGCCCTGAGAAGAGGGAATTCACACACAAAAGTAAGAAACCTCATCCACAATCTCCTGGTGATAAAGCAATCCAAAAAACCAATGGCGGCCTCAATCTCCCAATCCTGAAAAATGCCTCGAGAAATGGATATCCCAAACTATTCTCTCACCATCGAAATGATAACAGTCCATCATCAAGGGGTATGTCTATTTGTAGCAATTTGGGAAAAGTCTAGGAAAGATGAGGGCGAGAGGACGATCACCACGCCAAAAATCTGCTCGTTATCACCTTCCATAATTGTGCTCATCCACCCCAAATCTCTATAGCCACTTCCCCAACAAAACCTTATTGGAAGGCACTAATCTTTGATTCCCAAACATCCCTTCCAGATCGGAGTACAAACCCGATCCCAACGAACCAGATGTACTTGAACTCCTCTCCCATGGCACCCCAATTGCAACCTTTCTCAATCCTCTCTGCCACATAAGAGGAAATTCAGAAAATAGAACGGAAATAAGTAGGGAGGGGAGGCTTGACAGAGTGCTCTTTATTAGAGTGACCCTCCCACCTTTAGAAAGATGCTGCATCTTGCAATCGGCCAGCCTCTTCTCATACCTCTCGACCATTGGATCCCAACTTCCCACTCCCCTAGATGGAACCCAAGAGGCAACCACAGATAAGAAATGGAAAAAGAGCAAATACTGCATCCCAAAATATAAGCTAAGTTTGAAATTGGGAACCTCCGCAACCGGAACTAGGACACTCTTTCTCACATTCACATTCAAGCTAGAGACGACTCGAAACCAAATCAAAACGTATCTAAAGAATCTTATTCGAGATGTCCATATTATAGAAAACCACTGTCCTTGTCATCATTCTTCTTAGAGCTTCCATTACAATAAGAAGCAAATAGGGAGAAAGCGGGTCCCCTGTGTCACCCCTTGAACTAACAAAGAAACCCGTTGGAGCCCTGTTCGCAAGGATTGAGAAGCGAGCACTGGAAATATAGAAGTCAAACCATTTCCTCCATTTCTCTCCAAACCCCATCCTATCCAGTAGATAAGGAAGGAAACTCCAGTTAAAATGATCATACGCCTTCTCGATGTCCAACTTGCACAAAACACATGAACCCCACCACTCAGTCTAAAGTTTGATGACCTTCAACAACGACATTTTGAGAATTTGAAATGACCCCATCCAAAACCTCCCTCCTAGAACCTTAGCAATTAATTTATACACCCCACCAAACTAATAGGTCTAAAGTCCTTACCATCAATCACCACCCCCTTCTTTTACATGAGATCAATGAACATAGCATTCAGGCTTCTCTCAAAACGTCCCTGAGAGTGAATAGCATGAAAAGTAGCCATCATCTCCCCCCTAACCACCTCCCAACTTTCAAGGAGGAATCTCATCGAGAACCCATCAGGGCTCGAGGCTTTTATTACAATTTTTGTTAGCATTGTTCAAAACAATACGTAAGACGACATAATTTTTAAATACACTTCGAGGTTTTTGTAGTTTTTCTAATTAGAGACTAGGTTAATAAACTAGAATATTCATGTCAGTATAATTCATATTTTTTTATATACCTTTTTTGAATTTTTTATTTTTATGTTTCATATCCAATTTCCAAATTTTATATTATTAATTTTTTCTATAATTTATTTCTTACTATTAAAAGTTCATTCGTTTTTTTATATACATTTTAATACCTTTTAAAAATTTCAGAAATATTATTTATATATTCCTTTTAAACTAGAATATAATGAGTTGCCTTCCAAAGTTCAAACACCTCTTTTACTTCAGACACTAACATTTACCTATTTAAACTAAATCACTTCTCTAATTAATTATGATTTACCTTTTCATTTTTATAAGAGATAAACAACCACCCTTCATTTTCGTTTTCTATATGCATTTTTTTTTTTTTTTTTTTTTTTCAAATATCAAATATGCTTACAACGGTTGGTTTCCAACAGTTGTATTGTTTCGCATCTCTTCCTATTAATCAACTCTTTGTTTACAACTTGATAATTATCTCGTCTCTATACATTAATCATCAACTTTTTATTCGGCGGGACTGGCAGCATTTCTCTCCTCTTATAATTCCTACGACCGTTCTTTCACAAATAAATTTTGTTCAACAACATGTCTCTATCCATATCTCAATTTGTCTCTTGTTTTGTATTTTATGTCAAAATAGTATATTTGATAATTTGATAACGATTCTTATCTGCAACAAACCTTCCCTCGTAGCCACATATGTTTAATGCAAATTTTGTACCATCCATCAAGAGGCAACGTTCTCCAACAATGAGGGTTCTCTCTCTATATATAACACATTTATGTACTGTTATTTTCTTGTGAACCGCAACTTGGGGGTTTGTTTATCTATGATGGATTCACTTCCCACCAGAGTAGGAAGGAAATTCTTAATACTACATTACTTGTACCGCCGATCAATAACCAAAGTCATCCTCAGCTTTGTCTCTATGGCTCTATAGTTAGACTAACCTCATCATGGTCCGTCTTTCTTATTTTTTAACTTTGTGAATGCCCTTTTGGTTTCGGTCCTCATGCGGGCCAATCAGTTGTGACGCACCCTAACTAATAAGTGGTAGAGGCACTACAGTATGTTCCTTACGCAAAGAAGGAAAGGGCATAAAGACGCTGGAAGATAGAGAACTAAAATTGGAGAGTGTGGTTTGAGTTCTCTTGAAGGGATCTCACTTTTTCTATTTTTTTATTTTTTATGTGGGAAACAATGTCCAAAGATTCTAATTCAACACAGGAAAATTATTGAGTAAATTTGAGTTTCAGTCCACGTAATTACATATAATTCAGTATGATTCAGTTTACATGTTTATTTTAATGTTGAATGAGTCAGTTGAGGATGTTAGTTTTGTCATTTAGTGGGTTTTGTAGAAAGCTCATCAGCAAATTGTATTAAAAATTAGTATATAATGATACTAATTTTATTTTTTTAATAATTATTTCATCACGTGCATTGCACTTGAATTTTACTAGTTATATATCGAATTGGAACCTTAACTTTATCTCATGTACTTTGGGATACTAAAGTGAAACTTTAATTTTATCACATGGAAGTATAGGATACTGATATTTCCTATCTTTTTTCTTTATGTTTTTTACAGATCTACATCTTTTGCTTGAGCATAGTTGAGACTGTCAAAGCTTCTCCCCCTTCCCCATTTTGCACTATTTTCTTCCTTTTTTTTTTTTTGGGGTGTGCACATTTGGCTTCATGCTATGTCCTTTTGAATTCAGCTATTTTAATTTGCTTTTTCCTATCATGTTAACTTTGAGGAAATCTGGGTAAAATAAGTTAAACAAGTTTTTGCAGGTCAATGGTATTGATTTAGCAGAACTAAATGGTGGGGAAGTTGCTATCACTAACTTGCATTCATGTAACGGTCCAGAGTTTGTTCTACAACTTCATTTTAACTTCAACAAGGACATTGTGGCATCAAATAGTCCAGGTGAGCAATATTTACCCATCCAATTCTCGTTCTCTTTCTCTTATTGTAGATGTGATCAGCATGGTTACCTTAGTTGATGAACTGAAATCTTTGAGTACCTCTTTAGTTTCTAATACCTAAATATCTTCAGGTTTGAGAGCACCTTTAGAAGCAAATGCAAAGCTAAAATGTGTTTATTTTCCAATTGTTGAGGTATAATCATATTTTTGGTCTTCTTTGGTGTTAACTTCTGCTATTGTTCGTACAGTGTAAATTGTTCTTATATATATATATATATATATATATATATATATATATATTCTTATTCTTTTCTCCCCCTGCTGTTAATAACAGGGTAAAGAGAGTATTGATAGAATTTTAGAGAAGTTAAAGGCAGAAGGATGTGAAATTAATGAAACCTTTGATTCTTTTAGTCGTGTATCTATTCGTCGGCTGGGCCGTCTACTGCCTGATGCTCGCTGGGTACGTTTTCTGAATTTGCAGATTTATGTACTAAGGTGCTGTTTGATAAAACTGAAAATTTCAAGTACTGAATTTTAAGCGCTGAAATTTTAAGTGCTGAATTTATTAATTTGTAAACTTGTTTGATATTGTATCAATTTTAAGCGCTAAATTAATTAAGATTGTTTGTTACATGCAAAAGCTGAAATCTGAATGTTGTATATATTACATTTTTGCCTTGAATATCTTCTACACATAATATTATTATAAAAGATACTATATTAAAACATAAGCATATGTATAAAATAATGAATTTCACCAAAGAAATATATCAATTTAACAATGGATATTAATGTCAAAACTGATCATAAAAATTTCAAAATCGAATATAAAATGAATAACTTATGAAAATGAGATATTTATGAGATATTTATGAGAAGGAGATTAGAATTCACGCACAAATCATTCGATTTTTATTTATATAGTAGATTTGCATCATAACAATGGTGCGAGGGTTTCATTGCATGATTGTTGATTATAAACTTGAGTGAACCATGCACTATATATATATATATATATATATTTATTTATATATTAGATTATTTATATTTTGTTGAATATTATTTATATTTACATTATTTGAGAAGAAAAGTACAATGAAACATTTGAGTAAACTAAAAGTAAAAATCCATCGGAAGGGAATAAAAATGCAAAGTGGAAATAGAAAGTCCATCAATACGTTTAATTTAAAGAGTAGCATCAACGCGTTTAATTTCAAGAGTATAACAAGTGATGGAGAACCTAAAAATATAATATTTGAGGATAACATTGTCATATAAAATATTTTAAAACCTTAAATTACTTACCGTCTTCTTATAAGTGTTAAACAAGGTCTGTGTCGCTTAAAATTCAGGCTTGTTTTAAGCTACTGCATAATATTTTAAGTGGTAACCTAAATGTTATCAAACACACTAATTTTAAAAATTCGTTTACCATGTTCTGTGTTAAGCGTTGAATAGCGATATCAAACAGGCCCTATGATTGTTGGGTGGTTCTCTCCCATTCGATTGTGTATTAACTATTCTTCCCATTTACATAGTTTATGGAAGTGATTATTTGTTTTTTGTTTTTTGTTTTTTCTCATTTGTATTATACTTGTTACAATGTATCTTACTTTTAGTTAAGTTCTCGAAATATAAATATTTATCAATTAGCTGTTGCAGTAAGTGTTGAACTTGGAGTAGCTCAGGTAATTGTATATCACTTGACCATTTAACCATTATTCCCAGGATAGGATGGGTGAAAAATCAATTTATGTAATATTTCTTATTGGTGATATTCCAAGAATGAGAATGTGTTCCTCTTTTGATGCTTGAGTCCAAATATTTTCTTTAAGGGTTTAATTTACCACAAAGAAGAGGAAGTAACTTTATACGTCAAATAAGGGACTCGTCTATAACATTTTATGTTTAAAATTTTTTTTTTTTTTTTTTTTTCATATATTGTGTTAAGAGGAAGTAATTTTATACGTCAAATAAGGGACTCGTCTATAACATTTTATGTTTTAATTATATTTTTTTCTAAATCTCATTTTATGTTTTAATTTTCTTTTATTGTGTTTTTGTATTTGTGTGGTTATGTTTTTATATATTTGGGGTTTGCTTATTTCTGTTTGCCTTGAATGCATGCCCCTATTTGCCAGGTTGGATAACGATCTTAACTGATGGTATCATTGTTTTATTACAGGCATGGCTACCTTTTATGGAGCCTAGGCAAAAAAAGGGAGATAGGGTCCAGATTTTGAAAAGATGCTGTTTGAGAGTTAAATGCTTCATTGGTAAGTTTAACCAATTTAATATATTACTGCATTATGAATCCTTAGTATGCCTTAACAAACATTGTGGTGGTTGCAGAGACTGATGGTGGTTTCAAGCCGACTCCCTCAAAGGTATAGATTTATTTTATTTTATTTATTTATTTACATAACCGTGCTAGTATCTAAGTTGATGCAAAGTTGTAAATTTCCATGAATAGTTCCAATCATTGACTATTTTTAAATATATATATAAAAAAACTGAACTATCACACTTTTGCAACCTAACTGAAAAAAAAGGCCCTTGATCTAACCAACACTTTGAAATAGCACCCACTCGTTAGTTAACTGTGAATGGTACTGTAAAGTTACCTAAGTGCCCTTGTAGGATAAAAAAAAACTAAGGAAACCCATCAAAATGCAACAAACTCCCCTGAACTCTCACGGTTTTCCAATAATAAATAAAAAACCGGTTTTGCCCAAAAACAGAAAAAAAACCCACCATGAACTTTTGATTTGGTGATTTAAAAAAACCCTAAACTATGAAAAAGAATTTACAATTTATATACTTACATATACATATATATGTGTGTATACAAATGAGAATGGGCAAATTAATGGGCAACCCGATTGCAAACAAAACAAAGCAAAATCGACTTTGTTTAATTAATGGGTAAATCAATAATTTAATATCATAGGTAACGACTATTGTTTAATTTGTAGTTTTTTTATTGTGTAAGTGTTATGTTTGAAATGTCAGGAGGGTATTTGCAAAAACTTAATAGTTGAGGGGATTTTTTAGCATTTTACACTTAATACTATTGGACTAAGAAACATGGAGATGGACACAATATGCCACAAATACGCCAACATGTTAAATTCTAAAAAGGTAGGATACAGACACGGCGTGGACATAACTATTACAAATATAAATTTTCATTTTTATATCTATTGAATAAGACAATTATTGGATTTTAATTAATTTATTATTAATATACTAAAGTTACTTAAGTTAGAAGATGAAATTATTCAAATATGAAAAAGAATATTTTATATTATACTATGTATTGTAACTCTCCTATCCCTACATTATAGTTATGTTCATTAGTCATTTGTTTAATTTCAAAATTTTAAAGTGAAAAGAGGTTGGACACTTTGATTTGTGTTTATAATGTTGTTTTCTCGACTGTCATGTGTTTGTTTTATATAAGAGTAAGGGTGTAGGTCCTGTCGGATGTGTTGGTCAAGTGTTCGAGATGTGTTGGCCAAGTGTGCAAGATGTGTCGGCCAAAAATGTTTGAAATAATAAATATTATTTTATAATTATGGGCATGGCCATGAAGTGTTAGAGGAGTGGCCATGAAGTGTTAGAGGAGTGGCCATGAAGTGTCGGTCTTTGACATAGATCTTTTGTGAAAGTGTCCGTGCTTCTTAGTCATTGGAACATTACAATTAGTTAAGGAGCATAATGGTCATAAATATTATTTTTTCTTGTTCTTATTCTTTTTTTTTTAACCCTCTATTTTAATTCTATTAAAATATTACATTATTTTGAAACATCGAAATCCTGATTTAATCAAATTCAATCCATCAAAAGAAACACTTGCGACAATAAGCATACAACAATATCAAGTTAGCAAAGGTTTTAAATTATATTGGTTGGCTATATCTTTTCTTACTATCTCAACTCTTCTTGTTAGTAATTATCCATTTTAGTTTGAGCAATTAAACCAATTTCATCAGCAAATAAGATACACTGATGAAGCTCATCTTGAATGAGTTCTGTTAATTAATGCATAACTAAGGATAAAAACACATGGACATTTGTCAACTCATACCTGTATTGCTGGGTGGAGGAGTTGCATAATTCTGATTTTTTTTTTATTTTAACACTTTTGCACGTAGTTATGTTTTATACGACAGATTCCAATAAAGATTAATTTGAATGCTTTTCTTCTTCTTTTTTTTTTTTGCAATTCATTCTACCTCTTCTAATTTATATTGTTTGTTATTGGATGCATTACCTTTTAGACTGATTTAGCACATCACCATCCTTTTACCACTGCTTTGAAGAACTTAGGCAGCAAGCCTTTTGAGAATGAGGGAGGTAATGTTGTAAATTGTGTATGTATATCATTGGTCTGTGTTGGTTTTAAGATTTTGTCATTGAATCTTAAGTACCAAACTTTATTAAAAATTTACTTGTAGAGGTAAACCTTCAAATTTATAGAGATAGGAAGCCATTGACTCTTCCGCAACTCGAGAGGCAATATCAGGAGTGGATTTGTCAGATGCATGATCGTTATGATGAGGAAATCGAGTGTGGTGAAGATCAACCTCTTCATATTATCAGCCCTCCAAACAAGAAGGGACTAGGGATTTCTACTGATGGTAAGATTTAAGAACTACAATCTGCTTTATAAAATTTTATAAATGTAATTTTTTTTCCCCATTTAAATAAGTTCTCTTATTGGAAATTCCTTGTCTGAATCTTTTTGTTATAATATTATTCTTCATAATTTTGCTTTGATGTTGGATGCTTATTATTGTATTCTACTGTTTTAACTTGTAGTTGTGAGGGTTCATAAAGTTATTCGGAGGAAAGGAACATCCTGGAAATCAGGACAGAAAGTCAAAGTTCTCAAAGGAGCATGTGCTGGATGCCACAAGAACAATATCTATGCTACATTAGAATGTTTTTTGATTGAAGGATTCCAAGGGGATGCTGGTGGTAAGGAAATTATCAATGGCATGTAAAATGTAGTGGATTTCTTTCTTAAATATGATTGGTACACAACTGCTTTTTTGTATTAGTGAGAAGATGTGCTAAGCTTTTCTTTGATGGCCTGCATTATTTTAAAATTTGTTAAAAATATGAGTTATGCATGAACACAATAATATTTGAGTAAATTACTATGACGCTCCCTAGGTTTTGGGTAAATCAGCATCAATTTTTTACCTTATTGTTGATGTGATGAATCGACCAATATACCCTTCTTCAACTGTATAGATAGACATGTGGACACAGCTAAATATTCATATTATTTCTTTCTTTATTCTATTTTCTTTTGTGATGTATTTTTTGATTTTTGTTGTTTTTGTAACATATAATTCAATATACGCTTTTTACTCATTTTGAAGCAATAATATAATAAAATTTAATTAGTGTTGTGCGCATGTGTTTTTTTAGGTCATGTCCAAATATAAGTGTTGGATTTAAATCTACCGCATAAATTTTTTATTAGGAAATCAACTGCATAAAATTTTTATTAGGCAACTTGAATCCTCATCTTTGGCTAGTACATGTTATGGATTTCCTGTTTTTTGTTTTTATTTTTCCTTGATATGTGACAATGTTGACACTAATGAAGTTAAAGGTTTTTGTATAATGTATGAGCTAGAAATGATGATTCATGCATTTTTTAGTTTTTTTTTTTAAATCAAACATTTTGCAGTTACATATATTCTTATAATTAGGAAAACTAATTTTAAGTAGAGGTAGTATGAGCACTGATTAATCTTCAGAAGTGGATCAAATAGGGGAGTCGAATCGATATTATTATTATTTACTTAGAAAGGTAGACTGATGAAAAATCTAAGATTGTAAGCTATCACCGGAGAGAGTTTAGCATCACAATATAGGCAATTTGTTTTAGATTTATATATAAAAGGACAACCTAAGAGAAGAAAGAGGATTATAAACCCAAGGACTGTGGTGGAAGTTAAGTGGGACGAAAGTAGAATTATTTAAGAATAAGATGTTAAAAGAAGAAACTTGGAATGTAAAAGATGAAAGAAACTTAATGCCGAATAAGATAACTAAATGTATTAAAAGAGGGAGACGACAGATAGTCGTGAATTGGTGTTGCATGTACAAGAAGACGGAGGGATCCATGAACCACCTTCTTCTTCATTGCCCAGTGGCTAGGGATGCGTGGTCTATGTTCTTGGTTACTTTTGGCATGGTTTGGGTGTTTCCCGTGTCCACGGTTGGCATGTTAGAGGATTGGAGAGGGTGTATAGTGGAGAGCCAAGCTGGGGATGTGTGAAGGGCCCATCCCATAGTTGTTAAAGGCTCAAGGCGCACAAAAGCGCAAATGCCTACTGGAGCCTGAGGCGCAAGGCGCAAGGTGAGGCGCGCGCCCGACTGAAGCAAGGCGCACATTGGAAAAAAAAAAAACAAAACCCACCCAATAAAGTATTGAAGATGCAAATCATGCAATAGTATATAGAAAGATGTAAAAGTCAACTAAATAAATTACTTAAGCTAAATATTCAACATAAAGATGCCAAAACCAAGTAAATCAAGTACTTGAGTTCAAAACAGTGAATAATCAAACATATTAACATAAAGATGCAAAAGTCAACTAAGGAGAAGTATAAGATAAAACCAAAACAAACATAAACATCATTCTTCCTAAGAAGACAACACCAATGAATCTAAATATCATCCTCGTCATCAATAAGCATAACATCATTTTGATCGTCACTAAATGATTCATAATTCTCAGGATCCTCTTCTATCTCATCTGAATCATCCTCATCCTCATCTACAAGTCGAACTGAAGAACTTCCTGCTCCCTTTGTTGGTAACCGTGAACTAGAACTAGATTTTGATCTAGTAGACCGTTGCGGCCTGCTTGCCTCTCCAATACCAGCAAAATTAGCAACATCACCCCATGTCAAGGAATCATCTTCATAGACTAGATCATGTTCTGCATCAGAATCATCCATCCTCCCCGTCAACCACTCGTTGCTCTCATCAATGTCATCGAGTAAAATGGGATCAAGAGTGTCACGCATATTATATCGACGCCTCAATGCTCTATTATATTTGATGAACACTAAATCATTCAACGTTGTTTGAGCGAGCCTATTTCTTTTCTTGTTATGAAGCTGCAATAAATTCAACTTTAACTAGTAAGTATAAAAAATTAAAATTTTAGTTTTCAACAATTAAATTACAAACCTAGTTAGTAAATAGTATATACTTACATGCTCAAACATGCTCCAATTTCGTTCACAACCAGAAGAGCTGCAAGTAAGGCTTAAAACCTTTATAGCAAACTTTTGGAGAAGTTTTGTTGACTTGCCATAAGCTTCCCACCAATTAGCTATTAAAAAAAAATTAATAATGATGTTTAGCAACTTTAGCTTCATCTTTCTATCGACTCTATTGTCAAAATAATTTTAACACTTAGCTATACTAACTTAATATACTTTACCACTTTACCTGGTCCTCGTGTACTTCTCTGTCTAATAGCAAAGGGATTACCAAAGAGGCCCTCAGCTTTAGAATATAAGGACAGCTCCTCAGTAATTTTGTCTTGGTCTTTGACATCCGGGACTAACCTTGCAATGCATGCATACAAACCCTTTGCAATCTCTTCATCTTCTTCAATTTTTGAATTTGAATAAAAGTATTCTGGGTTCAAATAATAACCTGCTGCATGCAAAGGGTGATGAAGTTGAACATTCCACCTCTTATCAATTATTTCAAAAATATCTGAGTATTTATCTTCTACTCCCCCAAATGATTTTGCAATGGCTTCTTTAGCCCTATCCATAGCCGCATAAATGTATCCCATGGGAGGCTTTCTCTCGCCATCAACTAATCTCAAAACCGGAATAAGAGGACCGGAAACCTTAAGGCTGAAGACAATGTTGTTCCAAAAGGAAGGCATCAAAACATAAGAAGCAACTCTTTTACCGGCTTCCTCTTTCGCCCATTTACTACGATTCCATTCTTCTGAAGTAAACATCTTTCTCAAGTTATTCTTTTGCTTGTGAATACTTGATAATGTGATGAAACATGTAGCAAATCGAGTCTTAGCAGGCCTAAGCAACTCCTTTTTGTGAGTAAAGTTCCTCATAATGTTCAACAACTTTGGTCGCATATAAATATAACTATTCAACTCCACAGCCCTCTGCATTGTTCTAGAGATGGACGGTATTTTCCCAATGTCTTCCAACATCAAGTCTAAGCAATGAGCAGCACATGGGGTCCAATACAAATGTGGGTGTTCTTTCTCTAACATCCTCCCTATTTGAAACCAAACGGAAAAAAGAAAAAATGATATAAAGAGAATGAGTAAATCAAAATTGATTTAAATTATATATTTGTAAAGAATGTAAACTCTAAAAGTTATAAACATTGAACATTCTTACCGGCATACTTATTGCTTAACTCACTATCTGTGACGACATTTGCTACTCCAATGCGGTTCACAAATTTATTAAGTAAGTCAAACATCTTGTCACCATCCTTTGAAAAAGAAGAAGTATCTATCGACTCAATAAACATGGTTCCCCTTGGACTATTTACTAGGAAATTAAGCAATGTTCTCCCTCTCTTGTCTGTCCACCCATCTGCCATTAATGAGCATCCAAATTTTGACCACTCCTCCCTATGGTCATTCATCAAAGCATTGGTATTATCCAATTCCTTCCTAAGCAAAGGAACTCTCACCTCATGATAACTAGGTGGTTTCATGCCAGGACCATATTGTCCAATTGCTTCAACAACCTCGGCAAAGCTATCATACTTAACAGCATTGAATGCAATTCCTGCATCATACATCCACCTTGCAAAAGCAGCACACACTCTTCCTCTCAACTCTTTCTTGCATGCATCATTAATGGCTGTTTGTTTTCCCCCCTCCTTTCTTTTTTGTACCACAATTTCCGGTCTGGGGGTGAAATATAAATCAATCGGTCCCTTCTGCTTTTGCATCTTTGAGGAATTGACACTAGCACTGCCTGCACTAGCTACCCTTTTTCCCCGATTGCTAACTTCCATGACATCATCCTCATCCTCTCCATCAATGAAATTAATCTCATCACTAGGTAACAAATTCATTTGTTCTTTTTCTTCCTTTTTCTTACTCATGTACTCTTTGATTTCTTCTCTAACACTAGATGGGCATCTTGTGCATGCACTCACATTTTTATATCCTCCAGCTAAGTGTTGCTTAGCCCGATAAATACCTCCTTTTGTAACTTTTGCACAGAAGTTACAAGTGACGACATTTGTATCTTTCGGATTCTCCAAATGTGAGTAATTCCATGCCGGATCCTTTCTTGAACCTTCACTAGGCATCTTTTAAAGTTCAAACTACAATCAAGTTAAATAGAAATTATGTAAGCTGCAAATCAATCTAATTTTCTATAACTATAAGCACCATGATTCATTCTATAACTATAACAACTAAACATACTTTCAATAATAGAACCTAATTATATTATATGAAAATAATATAACAGTAAACAGTTGCTATTTACAATTTGCGATTGTCTTTTATAATTTAGACTTTAGAGTACACTTCACTAATTATTTCATTTTAACATGTTAGAATGATTCAATGGAACAAATACAGGCATACAATTTGGCTGCAATTGTGATTAAGCAAAGTAACTGCAGAATGTGTTGGCTCAAATTGGGAAATAGATCCGTCACAAACTCACAGTCACTCTCTACGTGGAGAGAGCTGATAGATCGGTTTGGAGCTAATTTTTATGGGTTCAGTATTTCAGTGTTAAGTAACTTAAGTTTGATGTTAATAAATTTGACTTCAATTTGGTGTTAGTTGTTAACTGGACAACTTCTTCTCTCTATCAGTCTATCTCTCTGTATTTGGTATTTTGGTGTTATGTAAATTCTGTATATATTAGAAGCTTTGTATTCCTCTGCAAATTTTACAAGAAAATCAATTAAATACTTTCTGATTTCAATAAATTTTTTTTTTTTTGGGTAACCCGTAACCAAGAAAAAGAATTACATTCTATCTGTCACATACAGGCTACAACAATCCAAAAAAAAAAAATAAATAAAATAGCAAGTTTAGCAACTGTTTTTTTAAGATTAAAATAGCAACATAATAAATTTGTCACAGTCCAGAGTCTCCACTCTCCTCTCCGCGGCCCCTTCATCAATTCCATCCATATATAACAATTTCTTTTCATAAAAAAAAAAAAAAAAACATGTGATCTTAATTGGTCATCAATTCCTAAATAAAAGAAAACTTAATATATGAATTAATCTATAAAAATGAGGAGAGCATCAAAAAGTAAAAAGTTTCTTTGAACAGAGTCCAGACTCAGGAAAAAAAATAAAATAAAAAAATAGAGAAAAAAAAGAAGAATAATAAAAAATAAAAAAAAAACTGCCAAACTCGACTCGACAGTCGGCTGAGAGAAGAAAAGAAGAAGAAAAGAAAAAAAAAAACTGAGACAGATCACATATCCGAGAAGAGAAGGAGAGAAGAAGAAGAGAAGGAAGAGGAGAGAAGAAGAAGAGAAGAAGAAGAGAGAGAAGGAGAAGTTGGAGAACGTACCGGCAGAGTCGCCGACGGCGTAGATCCGGCAGATCCGACACAGATGACAGATCCGAGAGGAGTGAGGACCCAGACCGAGAGTAACTGTTGTCCAAGTCGTCGCCTCTGTGACCTCTGTCTCCGACTCTTCTTTGTTTTGGTGTTTGTTCTCCTTTTGTTTTTTGTTTTTTTAATGTGGTAACAATGTGTTACAAAAGTAATAAAATAGAAACAATAAAATAAGAAAACAAATCAATAAAGTCAATAAACAAACAAAAGTTACAAAAGAAAACAGTTAAAATATTACAACTTCCATCAGGCGCGCCTTTATATCGCCTTTAGCCTTGCGCCTGTAGAGAAAAGGCGCTCGCCTTCTGCAACCCATGCGCCTTAAGGTTCTAGAGGCGCTGAGATGGCGCCTGGAGGCGCCTTGCGCCTTAGGCGCGCGCCTCTGACGCCTTTGACAACTATGGCCCATCCCCTTTGTTTATTGCAGGGTTTGTATTGTGAGAGGAATGGTAGATCCTTTGATAGAGAGGGGACTCTTTTTGGTCTCTCAAATACGTTATTCTTTCTACCCTTTTTTTTTTTTTTTTTTTTTTTTTTGTGTGTGTATGGGGGGGGGGGGGGGGTGGGGGGTGGGGTGCGTGTTAATGGGACAAATTGCAAACCTTCGGGGGTATCTTTTGGACTTTGTGTATAGCTTGAAATTATAGTGTCTCCTTTTGTGTCTTTTGGGAGCTCTTCTCTCTCGAGCGTTGTAATGAAATATTGTTTATAAAAATAAAAATAAATGTGCTAATGCCAAATTGGGGGTTTGGAAAAAAGCTTAGAATTATAAGGGATTAAATTTAGCAGAAATAAAACTAAATACAAGGAGTGTAATTTTAGTAAGTCTAGAAATACAAGTAAAACTGAATACAAGGAGTGAACATTTTCGTTATTTAGGTTCAATTGTTCATAATTTTGGCGTAATTGTATATGACTTTAATCATAGAATACGGGTAGGATGGGTTAAATGGAGGAGTGTGTCTAGTATGTTGCGTGACAAGCGTATCCCCTTAAGATTGGAAGAAAAGTTCTACCGAAATGCTCTTAGACCAACCATACTTTTCGTCACAAGATGTTGGTCAATTAGGAAACTTGTGCATAATGTGAGTGGCAGAAACGCGATTGTTGAGATGGATCTGCGGTAAAACTAGAAAGGATAGAATTAGAAATAATCACATTCGGGGGATTGTTGGAGTAGCACAAATTGGAGATAAAATGAGAGAAAATTGGTTAGGATGGTTTGGACATGTGCAAAGAAGAGCTATAAATGTGCGAGTTAGGAAGAGTGACAGAGTCCACGTGGAGGTAATAGTAGGGGAAGAGTAAGACCAAAGTTAGTAAAGAAGGATATGATAACACTGATTTGATTGAGTCTTTGACGTTAGATAGAGTGGGATGGAAATGAATTTATGTAGCCCTAGTTAGTAAATTCACTAATGATACACGTACGTACGGTTCTTTGGAAAATATTCTTGTTTTCTGTTCAGGTTTGAAAAATACGGTATAATACACGTACTTTTATCATCAACCCGTATGTTACGATTTTTGTAAGTTTTGATATATCTAGATCACCGTTTAATTCAATTTTTTTATTTTTTATTTTTTTATTTATTTTTAATATATATATATATTTCCTGATATCCCAACCATTTTTCTTTCCCTTTTCAATTTTAATTCTATATTTTTCTTGAACACAAATTCTCAACACATAAACTCTCGTCTTTATTCTCTTTTTTACTTTTTAGACCAGTTGTGCGACCAAGGTGAAGGCGTGACAGTGGATAGGCGGAAGATAGGTTATCTTTTTTTTTTTTGTTGTTGCTAAATCCGATGTCTTTATCACTCCAAGGCATGGTCTTTAATCAAGTAATGGAATATATGTATATATACACACACAGACACACTTTGTGGAACTTTAGAGAATTATATAGATTCTTATAGATCTATTTAGGTATTTAGATATTGTTATTTATTATTATTTATAAGATCTTTTATATTTTGTTTGTAACGGTAGATATTTTACCATTCTTTATTTTATTTTTGGAAGTTAATTTACTTTAAAAATATTTTAATACAGTAACAACCGTAGGATTTGAAAAATAAAATGAGTTGGCAACAATTTTAGGATATAAGCATGTGCAACGATATGATCTATAAGAAAATAAATAAGATGCGTATAGCCGAATTTTTAGTCCATAGAACATATTATACACATAAGTATCCGTATTCATATTTTTATGTTTTCGCTTTTTTAGCCGAATTTTTGTGACATGTTTTTTTTTTTTTAATTATACTCGTATGTTCATGAATCCGTCTTTATCCCGAACCCTATTTTACTAACTATGCATGTAGCCGACCCATAATAGTTGAGAAAATGTCTTATTTGATATTATTGTTGAATATTTTAAATCTTACACTATGACATACTATTTTAGTCCTAATATAAATGGAATTTTTTTAACTGATAATTTGTTTACCTGTTTGTAGGATATTGTGCTCAAAAATTATTTGGGAGTGCTTTTAATGGTTTATGTGCTTAAAATACTTTCTCTATTCTCTTATTTTATTTTATTTTATTTTATTTTTTCATGTGCTAAGTTTTCTCTTACGTCTTTTTTAAGAATTATTTAATGCACAAACATTTTTAGGTATTATCATTCTTGTTTTATAGAATCTTACAATTCTTGATCATGTAAACTCTAAATTGATCCAACACAAGATACTGATTTTAATAAGCTTGTGGCTAGTGTTGCTAGACCACTTCATTGACACCCATACAGACATCAACACTCCTTGATAGTGTCTCCTTGAGGACTATCAATGACCCTTCTGCCAGTCCTCGCCTCTGGTTCTGTTCCGAATTGTTGATTTTTTTCTTCAACTGGAAGAAGGCCAGTTGTTTGAGAATTGGTCAACGAGAATCAAGGTCTGCACTGGTAGGGCATTATAATGATAGTTGAAATAGGATATTATTGATTTTGAAATGGGTCAATTGGGTTCTTAGAAATCAAAGATTGAATAGTCATTTTTTTACAAGACTTTTAAACTAATGATTTTCTGAATCCTCATAGGCCGTGAGAGATCAGATTAATTTACGCATAATTTTTTTAATGCTATGTGTTTCATGGACTCTTCTATCACCGTTAAGATATGTGTGTTTGCACAACACTTCATTGGTATGTGTATTGGATATGTCAGACAACCAAATCTTAGCATATGATAGACTGACCAACTACCTGTGATGATGAGAAGAGGAGGGACTCAAATATGATAGAAGAGAAGGGGATTTCCTACTTTTCATATGGGTAGGCAGATTGAAAGCCATTTTTTCACCACACCCCATTTAATTAAAATTTAACTATATTTATAGACATATATCCTTAAAATACAATATCATAGAGAATTTTATTTAATGTGTAATGTATTTAAATGAGCAGTACAGTTCTACGTACCAGTATCTGACTTTTGGACATATTTGAAGCAAGTTATTATATTATGTGATTTGGGGATTAGGGTGGTCTGACAATTATACACCCAATTGCACCTGACACATGTAACATAGTTCATGTTACATATATATATATATATATATATTTTCCGCCCTCATATAGTTGCAGCTCTCTAGCATTATAGTATGACATATCCTTTTAACCATACACTTCCTTTTTTCTTTTTCTTTTTTTAATAGGGGAAGCTCGGCTTATTTGCAGGTATGCTGTCTTCTAATTTCTTTTTTTTTTTTAAAGCTTCTTTAAGTGTTTAGGACTAATTTCTTAAAAAAAATCTTCTGATTTCTTTTATTATTATATCTGTTCTGTAAGGCCACTAGGCCTCTCAGAAAAAAATGGCTGCATCATTGCTGTAAATGAAGGGAATCCATCGATCGACATCCGCGGTTCTCTCTCTCTACCTATTAGTGTGATTGATTCTGGAAAGGTTTGGTAGTTGAACTCATGTTGCCTATATTGATTTTTTTTTTTTTTTTTTAAATTTGTTCTACTGTAATTGAGAGATTTGCTAAATGCCGAACTATTTAATATCAGTGTTTGGCTGTTGAAAATACCGAATGGATTTACCAAATTGAGAAGCAACGGCAGAAAACTCCATCTACTATCGACATATTAAGTGCAAAATACTGTCAAGGGTTGGATATTGAAGGGGTTAGTTTTCCTGGCCTGTATCATTTATTTATTTGCGGCTTAATCGCCATTTGATCCCTAGTCGTCTTTTTTATGACTAAATTATATGAATAAATTTTGTGGAATAATTTTTAGGACCTCCGTTATCTTACACGTTAAGTGGATAAATTATGTTTTGGGACAGCCCTTTTCTTTTAGCAATAATCAATCATCTTTCATGGGAAATTGTTCATAATATCTGGTTTCTATTTCAGGCATTACCTAATGATAATACAGTTTATGCTGGACATGTTCCTCCCAAGGAAATTGTTGCAATTATTCGGCCTGCCTCTTTTGATAGCAGAAGTGTGTCTATGAAGTTGGATCAAAAGTATATTGTGAAACAAAACATTGAGATGGCTATAGAAATAAAATTTAGAGCTAAAGAGAAGGATATTGAAGCTCAACATATTTATTCGGGACGCGTTGCACCTTCATCCCATAAAGGTTTTCATGGGTTATATATATTTCCGCTGGGATGCAAGTTCCCTAAGATATTTCAAAAGGCTGGTATCTATACATTTTCGTTCTCTCTTGTAAGTGTTAAGGAGAAATTCTTTTTCATCATTTGGTCTTTATATGTCATATGGGACACTGCATTTTCTAATCCATTTGGATTTTGCTTCTTATTTCTATGGAATTTTGCTTGTTAGAAAGAGATGAGTATTAAAACTTCTGAAAAGAGAGTACAGGTTAAGGCATTGCCTGAAGTTGAGAGGTGGGGACTTCTGAATGATGAGCAGATTCCAGAGTACAGTGTAAGGTAAGGGACCTGTTACCATTTGACTTTTTTTACTGTTCACCATGATTATTAACCTGGTCCTTTGAATGATTTTTGTATTGACTTATCTCTATTAACATTTTTTTGTTATTTTTCTATCCTTTTGTTGCGTGGGCATCTTTATCAACTAGTTGGGTAATACATAGTTTACAAATGACATATGATATATGATACTGTGCAACGAAAATGCAGCAGGATTTGTATCATTATTGTGTGTTGACATCATGCATGATATTAGATGAAATATCACAGTTTGATTTATTTAAATGGTTTTAAAAAAAGTCTACCTCCTACCAAATTTTAGAACATTTTCTTGTTAATCATTCAAACAATAAGATAATCTTTTAGGGGCACTCCTTTAGTTTTTTTTTTTTTTTTTCTTCTTTTCTGTTTCTGTTTATATTTCATGCCTTCTTACATTTCCTTCTTGATTAGAAGTACTTGCTCTTTGCATGAATTAGAGATAACTACAAGGACTTTGACTAGGGTGATTAAGCCATATACAACCAAGAGCAATAAGTTTTCCAATGTAAAATTGGACATAGTTCACATTGACAATAATATTAAAGGTAGCATATGTTTGAATAAAGTCAGTAATTAATGTAAAATATGAAGCCAGAATTCTCACCTTTAATTTACCAAACAAAGAAGAATAATGAACGAAGATTCATGTAGATTTTTCAGTTTAGCTGAATTGGGTATTTAATTTTCTTACTAAGATGCTTAAAATATTGATACCGTTTATGATGTCTTCTTAAGCCTAAAAGTGATAGATAATAAATGCTCATAATTTTTTCGAATATCTTAAATCAGATGATTAGATTGTTAGTAAAGGTGACACCACATATCGTTTAAGGTAAATAGTTAATAATTAAGTGAAAGGAATTTCATGTGTTGAAAAGTAACATGAAGACTTTATTTAGGCTCCAGATTTACGACTGTACTGGTTAAAGACAAGTCTGTATCAAAAATATATTCTTATTTACGTTGGTAGTTTGCTGCATAAAGCCAAGTTTATATTCATACTTATGTTGGATTATGTAGATTTGATATTGGTTTAATCTTACTCACTAAGTGATTTATAGTTTTCGACTATATAAAAAAAACTACATTCCAAAATTGTAAAGTAATTGATTGCATTATAATCTGAAGACGTCTTGAATCATCTCCTTTTCTTTAGCCAGCATTTTGTGCTCTCTGTATGTTGTTTTATGGTTCATACTATGTTCGTGTGAATTATAGGTTGTAGGGTTGATGATTTATTGGTGTGTTTGTCTGTCGATAGGCTTAAGGATACTCTGATGTTTGGTTTTACTTGTCTTCTCTAGATTTTCTCTTCCCCCTTGTTAGATTTTATAATTTTAAGTATATTCCTGTTTTATAATACTTGTGACAATGCTAGAATTTTAATCATTGAAGTCAGAACTAGGTGACCAGTGCCCTTCACACTCCATCTCCTTTACTAGAATTTTAATCATTGAATCATTTTTATATTTCTATGACAAGCATTTCACTCGGCCATTGTTTGAGAGGTTGACGAGAGACATGGAAAAATTATTTTCAACAATTACTAAATGAGCAATATACTAGGGAAGAAGTTAACAGTAATGATCCTTACATAGGCATGATAAATGAAATTCATAATAAGGAAGTAAAGGACATGCTTAAGAAAATGGAAAATATAAGGCAGTAGGACCGGATAACATTCCTATAGAGGCTTGGAGAATTTTAGGAAAGATAACCATTACATTGAATGGTTAACAAAGTTGTTTAACAAAATTGTGAGAGAAGAAATGATATACAAAATTGTGGAAGTTAAAGAGGAATTAAATTAATGTGTTACACATTGAAATTATGGGAAAAAATAATAGAGCAAAGTCTAAGGAAAAGAAACATCAATATCCGATAACCAATTCGGATTTATGTCGGGTAGATCCACTATGGAAGCCATATATCTGATAAGACAACTAATAGGAGAGTGTAGGATCAAACAAATTGACTTGCATATGGTTTTCATAGATTTAAAGGCATATGAAGTGCCAAGGGACATAATTTGGTGGGCTCCATAAACTTTTTAAATCTTATTCAAGACATGTATACTAAGATATTGACTTGAGTTAACACTACATGCGGGGAAACTGGTGATTTCCCTATAGAGGTGGGACTACACCAAGGATCTGTGTTGAGTCCGTACCTATTTGTGATAATATCAGATGAAATAACAAAAGAAATTCAAGAAAACATCCCATGGTGTATGTTATTTGTGGATGGCGTAGTACTTAAAATCCTCTAAGGAAGCCTTAGCAACAAAATTAGAAAAACTTGTAGAAAAGAATTTGCTATTGCTTGTAGAAAAGAATTAGAGTCAAAGGGCCTAAGAATTAGAAAAACTAAAACTTCTGTTCAAGGCAGTGACTTTGCTTATGTTATGTTGTGGTTATATGTTTCACTCTCCAATGTTCTTTTTCTTTGGACAGATGGATACACCATTCAAATATGATAATTTGTTGATCTTTTTCATTTGCTATTGCTTGGGATATTATTTTATTGACTTGTTCATATTTGGTCTTTATCAACTCCATGCTGATAATTGTTTCTTTATTATTTTACTTTGTCATTCTTGGTAATTGATATAGTAGTTATTGGGCAGTGTTGGTTCGTGTTTTCCGCCCATATCCATTGCATGTTTTGATAAATACGACAACCACATTTCTTTCACATCTGTTCCGGAACTGATAGTCAAGATTGATTCGGATAGGGGGGTTCTTGCCCATGTCCACAAAATGAAGGTGGATATTTGTAGATCAACGTTGATATTGAAGGTATGGTAGCTCATCTCCCGTAATGCTCAGTTTCTCATTCTCATTTTGTATTAACGCTTCACTTGAGTTTCATAAAATTTGCAGCACGTAATAATTGAAAGCAATGAATTGGACAAGATTCGGCCTCGTTATCGAGCTACTTTAGTGATTTGTCCAGGAGATGAGTTGTTCTCTGTTTCCATTCCATGCGAAGGTATTCCCAATTTTATTGAAAATCTTAGCTACACTCATTAAGCCTTTCTCAAGAAAGGTGTGGTACATAAGAATTGTGTTTGTCTTGTTCCAAATACATGTTTTATTTTTCATCTCAATTTTTATTTTGTTTGTCAGTTTCTCCTGGATCTTTACAGCGTGTCACAGTCAACTGCCCAAATTTAGAGAAGCAGTTATTACCAGGGTGTGTTCTTCAGGAATTCATATTAGAGGTACCCTGAGGCATTATTATCATTTTGTTGGCCCATGGTTTTGTGTCCTGTTTTAGTGACAATCAAGCTGAAGACTATTGTGCTATGATTTTGAAAACATGCTTTCCGAATATTATTTTTATGTTTTATTGACGTTGAAAATTATACTCTCTCTTGTTATTTGTTGCTTAATACAGGGCAAATTGGCCTCCTTTCCAAACAAAAACAAGTGTATTTGGAAACTATATCCAAGGGTTGACACGGTTCCTATTACTTTTTCTGCTAGTTCGTTTTCAAAATTTATGGTGTGGAATTATCAACTGGAAACAACTTAATTTGTAGGAGATGTCAATTATATTGGTTGGAAAATATTCGTGACAAGGTCATTGCAACTACTTCATAGAGAATTTTTTATTTTTTACCTCTGAATAACTAGAATCTTCATTTTTTGAGCATTGGTTTCTCGTTTTCAAAACTCGGGAGTTCTTGCTTTGTTCAAGTACTATCTGTAAACACATGAAGGCCAATCCCGATGAGGCAATGACTGATTATGATATTGGCGATTAAAGCTGAATATCATTCTCAATTCCATGTTTTGTCACCGTTGATGTGATTGATCAAGAAATCTGTGAAATGACAAGAGTAAGTAAGAAATTTATTGCCGAGGTCAGAGTACATGAAAATTCAGACCATTACATGTTTGGTGACACCTGTAGTGATGTTGGTTATAGTAAGTTAGAATGTGAATAATTTAATTCTAGAATTTTTCTTTCTGTTGTTTTTGTTACTTTTTTTTTTTTTTCTTTCTGTATCCTCTTTAAGAAAGTATGTGTTTTTAATATTCACGTGCTTGCAATATTATTGATTTGATCCACACTTTCTAATTTACTTTTTCCAATAAATATTCTTTAGATGTTTGATGTTTATGGTAACCATGTCAAAGGAGGCGCTGAAGTTCAATTAAATCTGGATGGGTTCCAATTGCAAGATCTAATAGGTTTTGCTCGTAAGGTGGGTAATTTTCTACAGTTTCTGGATTGTTTCTCATTTTGACAACCTTTCAGATGAATAATTTATTTTGGAGGAGCTTTTATATATAAAAGAAAATTGCTTCTTGATATTCCTGACTACTTTCTTGACTGTTTTGCTCTTATGATTCAAATTGCTTGTAAATTAATCTCACATGACATTAAACTTGCATGAATATAGAAGTGATTGTAACAATGCTGCTAGTGATAGAATTAGTGAGATTCAATTACTTGCTTAAGTTTAATAGTTGGGTGGTGGTAATTATATTGGTGGTAATGACATTGGCATGATTAAATTGGTTGTGGTACTTGGGTGGCAATGGCGACAGTGGTAGTTGGTGCATCCGGTGATATATGATATTGTTAGATTTATGAGTCACGTGTTGACAAGTTATTAAAAACTCGGGTATTGGTGTGGCAATGGCAACAATGGTAGTTGGTGGTGGCAAGTTCTTATTAAAAACTCAGGTTTTAGTGTGTGTTATGTTAGCAAATTTTATGTCTTATACTTGTGTTTTTAATTTCGTTTTTGTTTTAATTTAGATTCTAAAAGTTAGTGCTATGTTACATGGACTCGAGTACGGGTGTCGGACACAGGTATGTATCCATGTGTCGGACGTGTCAAATCTCCAAATAGAAGGACACACAGACACGGCTAAATATTCATTTTATTAATTATTTTATTTTATTTTATTTTTTAGAGTAAAATAATATTTTTATCTAATATAATGTTCAATATAAACATTTAACTCATTTAAAAGTAATAATATAATGTAATTGAATGATTGGATATGCTTTTTAAGTACATGTCCAACCAAAAGTGTCGAACACATCCTATACTCATGTCCGAGGGATATGTGTCCGACACGGGTACTTCACTACTTTTAAAGAGTCCATGTAACAGAGGTGTCAAGAGCAAATAGGTAATCTTCAAGATCAAGGGTAAAAAGTTAAATTGACACCCATATATGCACTCTCCATGTAACCTTATTGGCCTTAACTTTTACTACAACAATTCCTATTTTAGAATTTTCTACTATTAAATTTTTGAAATTCAACAAAGAATTGCATTTAAATTCAAGTCAATGAAAATTCGGAAACCTTTCCTCCACCTTTAATCCTATAAATCTACAAGCGTTACATTATCTTAGTAGTGTTATTCTAAGTTCCTAGTGTTGTGTACCAACATAAATCTAGTAGTTGTAATATTTAATATAATTGAGTTCTTTCACTTTGAAAACGTAAAGATTTTGTATCCTGATTGTGAGTGTACGTAAGGTCATGGTACTAGATTGATCCTCAATGTTTATGTCTGTATTTTCTATTTGATGCAATATAAGTTATGTTATGACAGACGCAACATTCCATAAACAAATCAATGGTGCCTACATCCAAAGTGAAGATACGGCGAAAGATATCACTATGCGAAAATCTGGATATTGCAAGCCAAACCCTAGCTCTCGCTCTCACTCTCTTTCTTGCGATTTTCAGTGTTCTTTTGTTTTTCCCACTCCAAACCCTAAGCGCCCTTATATACCGGGCTACAAGAGAGTACTAAATAGGCCCACACAAATATCACTTTTCAAGTCAACCACAACATTAGATATTGGTCTTGAATGCTATATGATTTCAGCAACGAAGGCTTACATCCATGGCGTTCAAAGCCCAAAGGGTTACATATCTTTCATTATAGTCTTTCTTAATTTTGTTTACAATGAACCACCTCTATTTGTAGGTGAATTGAAAAAGACTCGTAGATAAAAAAACAGAAAAGACTGGTACAAGTATTCTTGTTGTACAAGTATATAATAAAGGAAAGACTTCAAAAAGAGTCAAATACAAATCTGGTAACACCTCATTGCTCAAGTTTAGCAACGTTAACTGTTTTCTTCAATGGGTTATTTGTTATGCAATTTGAATTTTATTTGCTTTTTTATTGTTTTAACAATTCATCTTCTGAAGTATAATAATGTCGAGTGATTTTAATTGCATTATTAACATCTTTTTCAATGTAGGTAGACGATCTTGGGCGCATTGACCTAAGTGGCCTCTTGAAGGTTTCTGCGGGTTTTGGAAGAACAGGTATGTGTTCACTTTAAGAGATAATCAAATCAGGAGTAAAGTATAATAAGAAGAAGAAAAAAAGAAGAAAGAGGATGAGAGGAAAAGAGAGAGAGATGGGGAAAGAGAGAGAATACTTTCATCCTTCCACCACATTCTATTTATACTAATAAGTTTAAGAAATTACACATAACCGCCCAACATTATATAAGTAATAACATATAAGCCCCTGACAACCCTCCCCCTCAAGCTGGTGCAAAGATATCTATCATGCCCATCTTGACTAACATATTTTGCAAGCAAGTCTTGCTCACACCCTTGGTTAAAACATCGGCAACCTGATCATATGTGTTGACGTATGGAGTACAAATCTGCCCACGACAAAGCTTTTCCTTGATGAAGTGTCGATCGACTTCAATGTGCATTGTCCTGTCATGGATTGTGGGCAATGCTAATAGCAGCTTTGTTGTCACAATACAACTTCATTGGCTCGCGAACAGGATAACCCAACTCACCCAATATAGTTCGTAGCCATAACAAGTCATAAACTCCATGGATCTGAACTTAGCCTTTGTACTAGATCTAGCTACTACAGACTATTTCAGATGCACACACAGGTATGTAGTCTTGGTAATGATTTAACTCTTCTCATTTACCACGTAGAGTGTGGTAATATGTAGCAAGAGTTTGGTCTTCTTGCTTGAATCTTGAAATCTGTAGTTGGAGTTCATATAGTTTTGCAAAATTACCACCTGAGGAATACGTCTCTTCCACAGCCTTCTGTAGCTCGTTAGCTGTTTTCATAAACAGAAACCCTCAGATGATCTGTGGCTGCATTGACTACAACGACCATGTCATAACTAGTGCATAATTTGCACTCCACTCTTTGAATTCAGTATCACTCTTGGAGAGATACGTGACAGTCCCTTCGATATGATCGATCATCCTACGACCAGTGATATGCATTCGAGCAGATTGAGCCCCCTATATAGAGTTCGTCTCATCCAGCCTAATAGTCATAATACAAAGGCCTGGATGGTGATCACTACTACCTCTCAATACTGGAGTCAGAGTTGGAGAAATCCCAGCTTATTTTGAAGTCACCTTTGAGCCAGACATTTTATCAAACAATTTCTGGGTATACAATCCTCAGAAACAAAAACAACAACAAAATAACACACAAACAATTGCAACTAGAAAGATTACCGTCCTCTGAGATGCATAAAAAAGCGACCACATAGTTACCACACAAACCCTATAAAGTAACAAAGTAGATCATACCAGAATCGTGAACGACGAAGAAAAAACAGTTGTTGTTGAACCATGCGAACACGGAAAAAACATCGATTGAGACTGCAATAGATAAAAAAACAGGTCCAAAAAAATCCCATCTTGGAATCTCTTCAAAACAGTTGGATCTGCGTGTGGATTTGATTAACACTACTTCCTTGCAAACAAATCCCATCTTGAAATCTCTTTAAAACCCTTCACACCCACTAGGGTTTACACAAACTTGCCCTAGGGTTTCAACTGCACACCTAGGGCTTTACAAACCATGCTTTGATACCATCTTGACCTTAAGAGATAATCAAATCAGGAGTAAAGTATAAGAAGAAGAAGAAGAAAAGAAGAAAGAGAATGAGAGAAAAAGAGAGAGAGACGGGGAAAAAGAGAGAGAATGAAAGAATACTTTCATCCTTCCACTACATTCTATTTGTACTAATAAGTTTAAGAAATTATACATAAGCACCCAACATTTTATAAGGAATGACATATAAGCCCCCTCACAACAGTATGCCGATGCAGTATGCACATTCTTCATGTCGCATTTTCCCTTATCATGGTAATCAGACAAGAAGAACATTTTTTATGGAAGTTGATAAAAAATAACATGTAATAAAATCATATATGTAATGACGCTCCCACTATCAAAAAGATTTTCTAGTTTAACGCTTGCTTTCGCTCCATTTGACATAGGTCAAAACCGTCAAATTTCAATTGATCCACAACATGTTCAGTCAATCGAATTTCTTTGCGTTAAAATATTGTTATTCTTGAAGCAAAAATTGCATTTAATCACTTTTTGAATGCTTAGAGTAACTAGATCTTGGGTATTTCAACTAAGGTCTTCTACATTTCCTTTCCTACTCATGATTCAGCTTAATGAATTTCTGTTTAATCTTGGTCGTGGCCCCAACTTCATTGTCTTCAGTTGTAGACATACTGACTCACATACTTATTTTTATATATATTAAAAAAAAAAACCTGGCTCAGAGACATTTTGTTCAACAACAACCAAATTTTGTAAGAAATTTGCTAAAACAGGACATACTTTCCTGGCAAGAGAGTTTCCATGTCTCTATTTTGTCTTTTGCAGATTTCAAAGTGATTTGAGTTTGAGGACCATTTTCCCCCACTTTTTACTCTTATATGCAGTGTATGTGGATGGGTTGCACATTCCTGTGGCACTCTGTGTCCTTTGCACATCTTAACAAGCAATGTCCTATTGCTGTAAATGATTACGGAAAACACTTCTAGAATTATTCCAAAAATGTCCATTTTTTTCCTTCTATTTCTTAGATGTTCAAATAAATTATTCTTTTCTATAATTTATTTTGGACCACTATTAATTTTATTTTATTTTATTTTATTTTTTTTCCTACAGTGGCCATTTCCATTTTATCAAGTGGTGAATTGGGGTTCAGGAAAGAATTTCAAACCGAGAAAAGGGAGCTAATAGCTTCTTCTAGGGTTTGCATCTCTTCCCTTCTGTTTGTTTTTTTTTCCCCTTCAGTTTCCTTCTTTACCTGAACAGCTACTTTTTCCTGGTAGCCAGGTACCTGAATCTTGTGCTGTTGGTTCTCAACTGGAAAACATAGTCTTTGAAGTTATAAACTCTGAGGGGGATGTGGATGAAACATTCCATGATGAAGAAAAATATGGCCAATCACATACGCTCACAATAAAGTCAGATTCACCATATACAGATGACTATGTGCGTTACGGTTTCCGGCGGGGGCGCTGTGTTGTTCGTGCTATTCCCCTACCTCAAGAGGAAGGAATCTTCTGCTTTGAAGTTTCTCACTCTCGTCACCCGGAGCTCCATCTGACTATCGAGGTTGCATCAATTTTGCGGAAAATTCTTGTGATGATGATTTCAATATTTATAATTGTGCTTATTTGTAGGTGCACGTTGATCAAGCTAAAGAAGTGGAGCTAGAAAGTATCCAACCTCATTTTTCAGATGGAAAGATCTTGCTCCTCCCGGACCCATCAACTCTTGCGGTTCCAAAAGTGGAGAGTGATGACGTGCCCCTTCAATGCTCAGATGGAAATATGTTGCTCCCTCACAACTCATTTATTTCTGAGGATGTAGGAAACTTGATGGGATCCATAATGAAGGATCAAAAGGTACAATAATAATCTTACAGGTGATGTTCTTATCAAATACAAATATGATAACAACCCTTCACATGAATGAAGCATTCTAGTTCACTTGTACTTCAGTTGATTCCATTACTGATTTTGTTTGCCCCTGTGAATGAAGATTGTTGACAAATTTTTACACTCGAAGCTTCTAGTTAGCTTATCGATGCTTATCAATGGTAATAATCCATGTTTGGGTTTACTCCCCTTGGGGGCGTACAGCTCAATAACCATCAACAACTAGTTCTCACCAGTCTTAAAATATTATACTCATTTTTCTTAGAGAAGCATTCGTTACTGTATTAAAAAAATATATATATATCCAGCTTCTCGAATTATGATGAGGAAGTTTTGCTTAGTACAGTACTTTTTATTATTTTTTATTATTATTTTTTTTTATAGAATTTCAGTTCTATATTTCTGACATTCTTTTCCCTTCCAGGAGCTTGAGGACAATGTTTTCGAATACGGCTTATATGTCGGACATCATGAAGAGTCACTAAAGATGCTCAATGATCAACTGGAGGCAATCAAGAAAGACATTTCTATGTTGCAAGGTTTTAATTTTCTTATCTTTTTGTTCATCTTTCCTCCTCTAGATAAACGCTAAATTCCTGGAGTAGTAGAAAAATATATCCATTTTTCTGACATAGCTTAACTACTCGACGTTAGTCAATGTTGGTGTAGGGCTTTAGAATTAGATGTCTTACTTGGCCTCTCCTCAAGCTGATTGGATTAATGATTTTCAGCTCTTTCATCAAGCTGCCTTGAGCTCATCAGTATGTATCAATTTATTGCCGGAGTTGAACTGAAATTCAAGTTCATTGGTCAATGAGCCAAGTTAAAACTTTAATCTTCCTTGAGCTCCCATTGTGAGGCTTTGAGCAGTGGTTATTCCTTTACATTTCTATTTGGTTCCCACATTTCTTTTTACAAATTTTTTTTTTTTTTTTTTTTTTTTTTTTTTTTTTTTTTTTTTATAAAAAAAAAAAAAGAAAAAAATTGTGCTTACAAAATTACTTCAGCATATGTTACTAGAAGCAAAGAGCAAAACTCATAAGCACAATTTTGCTTTTTCTCACCAACTGCATTGTGAGAGTTATTTGCCAGGAAAAAAAAAAAAATCCTTCAACTTATATATATATATAAATCCAGTTAAAGATTCCAGATTAAGTTAGCTCTTGCATCAAGTGACTCATGCTGAATTTGAACTTGAATTCAAGTTCATTTGTCAAGGTGAGCTACATTCAATCAGCCATGAGCTCCCATTGTGGGGTTGTGGGCAATTGTTATTCATTAGTTATTTTGCAATATTTCAATGCCCAAGACTCATGATGGTTGTTGCACAAGACTCAGGGAGAGTCAGGGGTTGTATTTTTTATTTTATTTTTAAATACCTACTTTCCTCAACAGCATAGTTGTACATCAAGTGCATGTTTGGACATTCCGCTGTATTTGGATGATTCCATTTTGTTTTTTGTTGCTTGGAAACAAAATTCTTTGAAGGTGCAATTTTATAATCCAAGATGGTGCCGTAAAAAAAGCAACCACTTCCACATCTTACAGTATTTAGGGAAGTTGAATAACTCTCGTCAGATTGATAAAGTGAACTGTGGGTGTTTGTTTGTTTCTATCGTCAATGATGACATTCCCTTTTTTTGTGTCCAAATTCACAATAAATACATGTATTATAAGTTATTTATAGAATATAATGGAAAAATTCAATTTCTGTAGGAAATACAAAATTGCCAATGGTTTTGGTTTATAAGTTCTTGCATATTTTTATGGGATAGTTACATATTAAAAAGTAAGAGTGGATTGAAGGATTTGTTTTTTCAGTAGTCATATGCTGCCTCTTCTGCTCTGTGTGTTCGCGCGTGAAGGCATGTGTTTTCTTTTGTTTGTAAAGCATCATCCCGGAAACTCTTTCTACAACCTACATTGTTGATGCATTCATAATATATTTACCATTTATGATTTTTCTTTAACCCTTTGTTCTTGTTATTCTTTTCATGTTATCATTTTCTAGTAAATTGTATAGCGAGAGGCCTTTCCAATCACAATGGGTAATGGCATAATATAGCTTATTATTGTGCTAATGTATGTGTATTTGTGCTTGACGTAGTGCTGAATATTATTATAGTTGATAAATGTGATATTTTAAATTTCTGTTCTCTATTATTTCTACTATTTTTTGTTGGATTGTAGGGAGATATTATAGATCTTTAGAGGAGATGATCTAGAGGCCCTATTTGGCCTTGTGTAGTTTTCTTTGGATGCGCTCCCCTTTTGAGTGCTTTTTTACAATTTTACTTATCAAAAAAAAAAAAAAAAGGTGATATGTTAAATTTCTATGCATAAAACTTGAGAATATCAGATGATTTTTCATGGACTACTTTATTTTTCTTGCAAATAACTATTCAGGTTATTTGAAGATGAGGAGACACTGATGTCAGCATTTGTATATGTCTGAACATATTCCATTTTTTTAATATTTCATATCAAGGTCCACCTCTAAGTATCAGATGGGACCTCATATATGGACTACATTTAAATATTTTTCTCTCCAAAAGCAACAATGTAAATTCATTCTCCAATCAAAAGCTAACCTCTATATCCTCGGACAAACTTGCATCCTACATCTCTCTCTCTCTCTCCCTCTCTCCCACACACACACACACACACACACACACACACACATCCTACATTTCTAGTAGCACTTTTGTATAAGCCTAAGCCCTCTCACATCCTACATTTCTAGTAGCCCTTTTGTATATGCCAATCAGCACTTTTTTATAAACCAAAGCCGATTACAATTTGGGGATCAATTTGTGGGTGGAGTGCATAGTATGCCCCTTGCATGTTGTGAGATTTGTTTGTTAAATGCATGTAATGTAAGATGGACTTCCTGGATGGCAGAAGAGGGCATCCTCATTTCTCTCGTTCCTTGTCTCATATTGTGCCCGGCAAATTGTAAAATCAGCTGGTTGAAATTATTCAGTCACCTTGATTCTTGGCCTTCACAGTTCCTCAATGGGCCACTGAGTTATGCTTCCTGATCAATGTATATGTGCTACATGTTATAGGGTCTGTATAGCTGAAGCTATTAGATGGTAGACCAAAACCATACCACCTCACTACTTGCATAGTGATTACTTTGCAACCATGGTTTGTCTGGTATCTGGCGTGGGTAGGATGTTGGAATAAGAAATGTGGTACACCTTGCTTACAATGCCTTTTTGCAAACTATAATGCCTGATGATTTGGAGTTGAACTTGATTTTCTGTTAGAGCTACTTTTCGATATGTATTTACATGGAAATCTCCTGAACTTTTTTAAGCACAAGGAATCTTACCATCTAGAATGGGTGTCCTACATTTGCTTTATTTTATTGTAATTTGTGGACAAAACTGTCCTTTTTAATAAATAAATGCCGTATCAATTTCCATGTACAGTGGGTAAAAAGCTACCAAAAATGACAGTATAGTCTTCCTATTTTGGATTATATGATTGCTATTTAAAATAGTGGTAAAAAGTAGTAGTATAATACTCAGTCGTGCCACAGATTCTATGGATCATGATTTAGATAACCATTTGGACTACTTTCTGGAGAAAGAGGTAATGATGAAACAGATTGAAAGCAAAACAGACTCCGCTGCTGCTGTTGTCTGCAGTCTCTTCAGAAGAAGTCCATCCCAAGAGCAACATAATCAGTTAACGGAGTGTATACTTGGTGTGGTTGCACTTCTTGGAACTGTTAAAACCAATGAGCTTAGTAGGTTGTTCTCTTTTTACTATTGGATTTGAACTTCATACACATTGAAATCCATAGGAACCTGGAATGTAATCTTTCTGGACTTGCATTTATGCAGGATATTGGCAGACTATCTGGGGAAGGATCAAATGCTTGCCATTGTGTGCAAATCCTATGCAGTTGCTAGAGATCTCGAAAAGTATGAAGAAAATGGAATTGTGAACCGTGCGCATGCTCTCTATGCAGCAGCAGCTGAAGTCGGAAAATCTATAGATGGCCGATATCTTGTTATTTGTCTTGAGGATATAAGGTTTGCTTCTGAATATTATTTGTGTTAATTAAGTTATTTCTTTCTTGAGGGCTAGCCTTGGCGCAATGGTTAGGTTGCTCCACTGTGACCCGGAGGTCATGGGTATGAAATTAGGAAACAGTCTCTCTGCATACGGAGGTAAGACTGCCTATGTCTAACCCTCCTAGACCCCGCAATGGCGGGTCCCTAATGCATTGGATTGGCCTTTTTAAGGAGGCTATACATGCATAGGGAATGATACAGATTCTCATTAAAGATCTTACTACGCAAGTCGTTTGGCAGGCCTTATACAGGGGAATTGGGCACTGATTCCCAGAAGAAGCTTGCTATTCCAGATCCTACCTTACCAACTGGAAAGACTCCACCAGGTTATTTGGGATATGCAGTTAATATGATAAACTTAGAGGTCCATCATTTAGACACAAAAGCAGCGGCAGGCCATGGCCTTCGGCAGACCTTATTCTACCGTCTTTTTGGTGAGCTTCAGGTTTATGAAACTAGAGGAGACATGAAAAGGGCAATTGCCTATATAAAACATGCTGCAGTTTCTCTGGATGGGGGGATTATGAGAGGAGATGGGGTTATTTCTCTTGGATATGGGTACGTAAATCATCTGCAATTAATATGTGCACGTGGTTATCCTTATTCGAAATTGTACTGTCTACATTGAACCTCTGTTCCAACCAAAGATTACTACTAACTGGATGCATAAGTGAAATTTTATAGTCAAATATTACTTTTTATAGCTCTCATGTGGAAGGTTGTCATGATTCAAGGATGAAAATCGACTTCCTGAAGAATTTCAGGAGATTTTCGTTTTTCTAGTTACTGGGTTGTATTGGAGAATATTTGCATTGTCAGACTTGATTAGTTTTGTTAGAATCTACAAGCAAATATTTACTATGAACTTTTGCATCTAAACTTGGCTTGGTTTTTCAATTCTCTTCAGGGAACCAGATATTCGTTTTCCAGTTATTGCATCTGAAAGTCTAGTGTATTCTAACCCACAGAGCGTGGAAATCCTGAAGCAGATTGAAGAGAAGGAAGAGGACATGAGAAAGACGGTCACTGAAATAGAGAAAGCGACAAGAAACCATAGGAAAGTCATGAAAAGGTTCAACAAGAAACGAGATAGATACAAGAAGTTCTTAGATGAGAAGGGTCCTTTTCTGGGTAGCTGGGGATTGTCGGTTTAGCATTATCCGCATTATGACCCTCCTTGCCGAAACAACTTCTTGACCTGGTTGTGGAGAAAATCTCTGGAAAGTCAATTTTGCATATGGTTATGGCATATTCTTTTGCATATTTAAATAATTTACAGTGGGAAGTGTTTATAGACACACTCGTTGGCTAGAAAAGGAAAAGAGTACTATATAGACAAAAATGGCTGCTTACATGATCACTTGCAGGAACCTCTGACATGTGCATAATGAGAAGTCCTACATAGTGACACACAGACATATCACAGCTACCCATACCCATTGTCTTTTTGTAAATTGTTTATTGAATGCTGAAATATCAGTATATTTTTGCTGCGGAAGATGCTAAATTACTAGTTAATTACACCGAGTTGGTTACATAGTAATAACTAAAATAGCATGATAAACTGTGACGATAAATTTCAAATGTTTATGGAGTGGTGATTTGAATATTGCTTTGTCAATCTGCTATATCAATGTCCATGTTCAGAATTTTTGTCAGACCAGATGTATATATATATATATATAACAGACCTGTTCACTCTTATCAGTAGTACAATTAATGATCAAATCGGTGAAATGTTATAATTGTGTTTGTTACATATTATCCCTCTTGCTTTGTATCTTTATTTTAATCCGTTCCAAATTAATATTAACTTGAATAGCATACAAAACTGCTTACCTAGTCGTTGATATGTTTGTTAACTGTACATTTTAGGTGGCGGATGTAACTTGTGGGATAATCTCTATAAGGGGTGTAACCTTGTAATATCTTCAACTCAATTTATTTTTTTAACTACAAAACAGATAAAAAATACTTTCCTTTCGAAATGGTTGCCTTTCATTTCTCTTTAAAACAAAAAATAAATAAAGAATAGGGTAAAGTGTAAAAAAAAAAAAATCCTTAAATTATTGGTTTTTTGCAATTAACTCAGATTGCCTCCCTAAACTATTGATTTGTTGCAATTAAGGACAAATTCATTACAAAAGACTATTTTACCTTTTGTTATTAAAATATTCATTTCTTGCTAAATTGTTTTTTATTATTATGTTTTCTCTTATTTAAATATTAATTATAGCATTTACCTTAATTTTATAATTAGTAACAATTGACTATAAAAATGGAAAAATATAAATAAATTTGTAACTATCATTTTCTAAAATGCTTATTGTAATAAAACTTATTATACTCACTTTAAAAAAATTTAGTAAAAAAATATATATATTATTTTTCAAACAATATTCATGAAAAATTAATAATTACATAAATAAAAAATATCTTCTTTTTAACGCAATATATTCATGAAAATTAAATTACTTAAATTGTTTCGAAATTTTATATTTAAGATTTTTATTTAAATAATTAATTTAAAAAATTAAAGGTAAACTTATGCAAATTTATTGGAGAATATTTCATCAAATTAGTAAGAATTTTTTTCATAATTTATTTTAACAAGAAAAATATATGAAGTGTAATTCAATAAGAAAGGGTATTATGGTCATTTAATGAAAAAAAAGGTAAGACAATGGGGAATTTTGCAATTAAATGTGATAGTTTAGGGAGTTTTTATAAAGAAAACATAGTTCAGGGGGTTATTTGTAAATTTAAACATAATTGAGGGAGATTTTTTGTACTTTACCCTTAAGAACATTTTATTTATAGCTAGGGTTCATTTCCCTTAACGTTGCCCATTGGGCCTGTAGATCATTTTCGGCTTGTTTTCTTTTGGTCTTGTAATATCTGTCTTTTCCCATGGGCCTTTATAATTTAGGCCTGTTTTGTTACCCAATCATTCGGCTTTGTAATTACCGTCACTTGGTTGCACCTTAAGCAATTTTGGGATTATCTAATATATTTTTATATATCAATTCAATTTGGTCAGGTAGGAATTCAAATTAAGATACGAAACTACATGGTAGGATGATGGATGATGGATGATGGATGATGGAAATGTAGTGATACATCTACCGAATCTAATCACGGAATTCAATGTGGCTATGCCACGTAATAGGAGAGAGGCTAAAACGATTTCTCCTCTCTCTCCTCTTTGTTTAGGATTCTCTTGCTTTCTAGACTCCCATCAATTATTATTTCTCTCTTTTCTCTTTTCAATTGGCAACTTAATTTCTTGCACCCTTTTCTATCTGAATCTAAATTTACAAGCCACCATTCGAAATACAACTGTTTCTGTTGTATTAAATCTAAGGAATAAAATTTTGCTCCTAAATGGAGGTAGTAGACATTGGCAAGGCTATAAGTCATCTCAACCATGTAAGCATTCAACTAAAACTTTGATCCGAATTAGAAGAATTATGCACCTCTAACTCTTTACTAATATATTTCTTGGGTAAAAAAAAAAAAAAAAAAAAAAAAAAGAAGAGTATAATTATCGGCCGGGCTGCCATTGCCTGCAACATCTTTGCTTCACGTTGAATGTCATACATATTTTTGGAGACCTAAAATAACATACATGTTTACATAATTGGAACCAAAAAACAAAAACACTGTAACAGATTCTAAGCGGATGTTAAATTAATTTCATCCATAGAAGTTGTTGAATGACACCGTGTAAACCGCCTTTGTTTCCTTGATATTTAGCTTGTAAATTCCTTAATCAATACAAATTTAGACATTATCTTCTTCAACTTGTCTTCTCTTGTTCTGTCTACTTAGGCATACGTTCTGTTCCAATTTTTTTTTTTGTTTTTTAAATTTATTTATTAGTTTCTCATCCAACTCTAAATTAAGCATATGTTCCAAGTCAAGACATGTTTCCATGAAACATATATCATCTGCAAAACCTTCAAAGATTTGCTCACCAGTCACCAAAATTCTTTCTTCTTCCTCGCCTAGATATTTAGGAGACAATTAGCTGCTTGTATCCATTGTTTGATTTTACGCACCAATTCTTTCTTTTTTTGAAAAAAAAAAAAAAAGAAAAAAAGAAAAAAAAAAACTTTTTTAACAACTCAATGCCAAGCCGTTAAAAATTGTGTCCATGAAAGACTTCCAAATACATACAGAAATCGGATAGAGAGGAAGAATAATCGATGAATGAAAGGAAATTTAGACGAGAGAGTGTCCCTAACGAAGCGCCGGAAATTTTTAGTCTCCTAGTTGAACGAGTTAATGAATTACATGGTTATGCCATGTAGGATTCGACTATTATTTTGGCTGTTTGGTTCGGTAAATGTATCATTATTCTAATTATAAATAGAGTGCGAGATAATTTGAGCACTTATATTCATTCAAACACTGATATCTGTAAAACAAAAAAAATAGTGATATGGAGATATGCACAATTGTAAAACACAAAATCAATTATATCAAGATATGTACCCTTGTAAAACACGAAAACGGTGATATTCAAATATTCATGTGGAAATTGTAAAACAGTGATATCCAAATACAGTTTCTACTGCCTACAGGTATAGTTTTCAATTTTTAGTTTTTACCCATTGTCAGCTTGAAGGATTTCTCATATTACTTTACTAAACATGTTATAACTCTCATTGTGGTTAGAATTTGATGAATACTTTTTTTTTTTCCTGGCAAAGACAACACAAAAGAAACCAAAACAAAAGAACCAAACTACAAAACGACATCAGCAACAGCCAATGGAACGACTGAAGGAGGTAAAGAAGAGGAAAATAGATCCGACACCATCCCAGGTCGTGAAAGAGTTGCCAACGCATGAGCCACCCTATTACCCTGGCAACGAACATGAGTAAGAATAGCAGATGAAAAAACCCGCAGGTCTCGAGAAATGTCAAAACAGATAGAAGCAATATCCAAAGGACACGTTTCCCGACGTCTTACCCCATTCACAACCACCAAAGCATCGGACTCAAACCATAAGCAAGAAAAACCCAAACGCATAGCGCAGAAAACAGCTCGTTGACACACCAACACCTCAGCCTCCAAAGATGAAGAAGCAGAAAAAGGGACGAAAAATAACTGCTTGAAGCACTACCCCTCGAAAATCACGAAAAACAGCTCTACCACCCCCTGTAGAGATTGCCGACAAAAAGAAGCATCAAAATTGCACTTAACAGTTCCAGAAGGAGGAGGACGCCACAAATCCACCAAATTGATAACCGAATCAGCTTGCACGGACGAATGGAGGGATTGAGCATCATGAAACTCCCAAAAACTAGCCACAGCCTTCTTAACCACAATTTCAGGCCTCCATAAAAAGCCCTTAAAGACCAACCGATTTATGGCTTTCCAAATACCCCAAACACAAAAAAGAAATCAAACTTAGAGCATCCGCAAAATCCGAAGAGAGAATAGCCTTCTGCAGCAAAAATTTACAGGCAACCCAGAAACACGGAAATGAATGAGCTGATAAATCAAGACGCAGTGGGGATAACTTCCACACCTGAAGGGAGTGAGGGCAAGAAAATATGAGATGCACAACGGATTCCTCCCATAAGCCACAACGAGGACAAAGAGGCGATACCACACACCCGCGGTCCAGCAAAGCTACCCGAACCGGTACGGCATGCAGACAACAGCGCCAAAGAAAATGTTGCACCTTAGATAGAGTACGACACCACCAAATCGAAGACCACGGACAAGGAGGAAGAGAAGCACCTGCAAAATTAGACATGGAGATGGCCAATTTATAAGCATGCCTCACAGAAAATCTACCTGACCTCTTTGGACGCCAAATGACCTCATCCGGTTTATCCCACTGACTAATGTAAACTTTGAGAATTTCCTGCACTATAGTAGGAGGAAAAAACTGAGACAAAACATCCACCTTCCACGAAGACATAGCAGTATCAATCAACTCGGAGACAAAAGAAAAATGAGGAGGATCCGAGGAAAGTGGCAGTTTATCCGGAAGCGTAAGGACCCAATGATCTTTTTAAACATGCGTAGATGTACCATTTCCAATCAATGAACAGACCCCCGGCGTAACAAATCCTGAGTAGACCATATACTACGCCATCCCCAGGAAGGATTAGATCCCAAAGAAGAATCCAAAAAGAAACAGAAGGAAAATACTTGGCCTTAAAAAGTTGATAAAGCAATCTAGTCTTCTGAACCTGAAAATGCCAAGCATGCTTTGCTAAAAGAGCGGAATTAAAAGCCTCAAGATCATAAAAGCCAAGACCACCCAAAGGCTTGCTCGGGCATAGAAGATCCCAGTGGAGCCAATGGATTGCCTGATGCTTATCCTTATTACACCACCAAAAAGAACGAATATGCTTCATCAAATCGTGACAAAGTGTAGTAGGCAACTGAAAATATGACATAACATATGGAGGCAAAACACTTAACACTGCTTTAATCAACACCTCCTTGCCACCAGTGGACGGAGATTTTGCTTTCCAAAAAGCTAACCTGTCCTGAATTTTAGTCAGAAGAAACTGAAACACATCCCTTTTAGACCGACCCAAAATAGCCGGCACTCCAAGATACCGACTATGAAAACCCTGCTGCTGCAATCCTAAAGAATGAGTCAGTGATTTGATGACTACTTTGATTTTATTAGAAATCTGAGTTCGAGCCGGTCAGTGGGCAAGTAAGAGTTCTCGATGGAGTACAAGCTCAAACGGTGTGGCTGAAATCATGAAATTTAAACTTTTTCTCAATTTTTCTAAGTATGGAAGGCATCCGGTTTATGACGGATTTTGTGCTGAATTGTCAATTGAGTTGGTTGGAATATCCTAGCTTTTTTTTTTCCTTTTTTCTTTTTTCTTTTTCTTTTTCTTTTTCTTTTTCTTTCTTTTTTCTTTTTTTCTTTTTTTTTTTTTTTTTTTTTTTTTTTTTTTTTTCTGACAATTGAAGTTTTCTGAATAATGTGTGATCTTAAAGGAAAACTGGTGATTTCAAGGACTATTGTAATCTTGCATGATTGTTTTATTATCACTAGCTGATATTTATTTTCTGAAATTGTTTCCCGAGGATAAATTTTACAGGTGTTAATGTAAAATCCACATGAGTTCTTTACTAGCTATGTGTTTTTTCGGAATAGTTGCATTCAGTAGAGAAAAATATGGAACCTTTTATTCACTTGCGTCAAATGTTTGGAAATAAAATTTTTTAAAATACACAATTATAACTCTTTAGTTTTGTTTTTCATGGATTTTATAGTCAAAGTTGAATAACAATTTTGATTTTCTTTTTGTTTTTTTCCTTTTTTTGTCTGCTGGCACATCTCTCTTTGTGAACCTATCTGATGATATAAGGGAAAATGTAGAAGTGATATTCCCAAAATGGAACAAGGAAAGGTTACTTGAGGAATAGCTTCACGTAACAGAGTTGCTTGTTCTTTTGGAAATTATCTTGACATAGACTATTATTTGCCATCTATAATTTTATTAATAGTCTTTTAGTTGCAGAAATTGTGACGTGCAATGTGTGTTATGATCCAGACCGGAGGTACGTAATATTAATTGGTTAATTAACCAAGTCCATTTCACAAGTTTCTAATGGCCATAGGTATAGTGTCCTATATTTATCCGTTGCCGGCTTGAAGGAATTTTCGATACTACTTTACTAAAACTGATATAACTTTCAGTGTGGTTAGAATTTGAGGATGACATTGATTTGATTGGAAAATTGACTTTGAGATAGTCAGTTTAAGCTTAAGAATGATCCAATTTGGATTTGAAATGAGGGAATTATGGCCATTTGAAATTTGAATTAACAACTAGTGGCCAAGTAAAAGTTCTCGATCGATCGAGTCCAATCTCAAACGGTGTGGGGCTGAGATGAAATTCTAGATTTTTTTCAATTTTTCAAAGTATGGAAGACATCCAGTTTATGACGGATTTTGTGTTGAATGGTCAATTGAGTTAGCTGGAATATCCTATCATTTTTTTTTGGTTTCTGACAATTGAAGTAATCTGAATAATGTTTTTGTGATCTTAAAGGAAAACTGGCGATTTCAAGAACTATTGTAATCTTGCATGATTGTCTTACCATCACTGGCTGATGTTCATTCTCTGAAATTGTTTCCTGAGGATAAATTTTACAGATGTGAATGTAAAATTCACATGAGTCCTTTACCAGCTATATTTTCCGGATGGTTGCATTCTGTGGAGAAAAATATTGAACCTTCTATTCACTTGTATCAAATGTTTGGAAAAAACATTTTTTTTTTTAATGAATAATTATAACTCTGTAGTTTTTTTTTTTTCCATTGATTTTATTGTCAAAGTTGAATAACAATTTTGATTTTCTTTTTGTTTTGTTTTGTTTTTGTTTTTTTGTTTTTTTTTTTTCCTTTTTTTGCCTGCTGGCACATCTCTCTTTGTGAACCTATCTGATATAAGGGAAAATGTAGAAGTGATATTCGCAAAATGCTCTAGGATGTCAAATCTTCCTGATAAATATTCTAAAGCTGAAAATCGGATGAAGAAGATGAAATGGAACAAGGAAAAGGTTACTTGAAGATATATACCTGAAGATTAAATTTAATGGTCGAATACAATAATATCTGTGGCTCTATCTATCCTCAACCAATCAAGCATTTTTAATAGTTAAATGTAAAAACGCAGATTTTCAATGAGGTCCATTTGAAGGGTTTGTTACTTGTCCAAGGCATACGTTGTTTCTTAGTCTGGTATAGTGGCTGGACTTGCGTGACCTAAATTTGTTTTGGGCAGGATTTTGAATAAAGGTTTTACTAGTAACCAAAGAATCTGAAATAGAAGAAATGTTATTATATTTCTGAGGATATACATTGTTTATGTAAAATTAAATTAAAATGAGTTGATTTACAGTATTAACTTGACTTTGGCACGCTTCAAGCTTGCTTTTAAAATTTTAAAGTAATATTTTTTAATAATTAAATTTTAATTAAAAATAAAATAATAAAATATATAAAATTATATGCAATCTAAAGAAAAGTGGTAAATGTAATTATTATTTTTTAATAATATTTATTCATTAAGTTATAATTTTTTTGAATGAATTCATAAATTTGAAAAACTATTTAAGATTTTAAACTAATCTAATCACATATTGCGGCTCAAGTCACTTTGCCTACTTAGATGGGGTCTGAACATTTTTTATTCGAATGCTTGACGTGACATCTGAATCTAACTCTAATATAAATTATAACAACCCAATATTTTGCGATTTAATAAAAAAATTGACTTTGGTTCTTATATCAAATTGATTTTTTTCCATCCACATCCGAGGGAATAAACCCCTAGCAAGTAGCGGCTCTTTGGCTCTTGCCCCGCCCAAGTCCCCAAAGTAAGCACCACGTCGTTTGCTTGGGTAGTCTTGTAATTACCTGAAGTAGATATTCTCAAGAAATGATATTACTTTTTCTTTTTCTTTTTCTTTTTCATTTTTATTTTTATTTTATTTTTTTGGTCGCAGTCAGAATTTCTGTCTTCTAGCTTCTTTCGTCTAGAAATTCTCCAATCAAACCAGATAATCTGTGAATCTAGCAAAGACCCACTTACATTTCCTTCGAACTATAGCAAACCCATGTCTCAATTTTCCCTCTTATCACCTTTATGAACACCGAAGCCCTCTCTTTATAGGCCTATTTTCCCTCTACTTCTGTCGGCCTTTCCAGGAAAATCAAATATCCATGGCTGCTGCTTTGAGAACAAAATCATCCAAAGATGCAGCTTCTTTCACAGTCTCTCAGTTCAGATACTTTATATTCAACCACATGCACGCTGGTCGTATGGTGACTGTTCATTCCAATTACATACCCAAATGGGACAACTTCTTTACTAACACCCCCCACCATTTCACCTCATTCAAGCCCGTCTCACTTCGCGGTGAATTCGTCGATAAGGGTGCCAGGTTATTAGATTGTCAAAATTCTTCGCCTAGTTTGGGCAAGAATCGGAAGGAATCGAGATATGTTTACAATATTTTGAGTTCCTATGGGGATCCCCCTGAGGTTTGGCAGCCTCCTGGGGTTGGTGTTGCTGTCCGGCCAGGGAGTTCTGATGTGAAATTGAATCGGGTGAACGAAGGAGGCGGTGGAGGCACTGGTTCGGGAGGCGGGTTCGGCTCGAATTCGAAAGAAGGGTGTTGGGGAGGATCCAATTTGGGTGATAATTTTCCCACACCCAAAGAGATCTGTAAAGGGCTTGACAAGTTTGTAGTTGGACAGGACAGGGCAAAGAAGGTGATTTTTTTTACTTTCAATTGCTTTACAATTTTTTTGTTGTTTTGAATTTGATCGGATTGTTAGATTGTTTATTTGATGAGATATTGGGTTTTGTAATGCAATCTAGAAGCTGTTCACAGAAGGGTATATTTGAAAGGAAGGGGCTTTTAGTGGGGGAAAAAAAAAAGGATGGGGCTTTTTGCATCAAGCCTTTGCGCTGTTTCTTCAGCACTTCTTTAAATGATATGCATAATAATTTGGATTCATCAATTCATATGCTGCTGATTGTTTTGGCAAATAATGAAGATTTGCTGTTTGTGTTGATTGGAACAAATAATGATTGTGCTACCATTGCATTATGCAAGCAACAATATTAAATACCACAACAACAAGAAAAACAAAACCTTTTCTAAACTAATTAGCACCACATGTTATCATATATTTCCTTATTAATTCTAACTCTGTTCATTTTGCTCTTTCCCCCCATTGTGGACCTTGTCACTCTTTTAGTGGGTTCTTAATCTCCAACTGGTGCTACTTAAACCATCTCACGTTTTGTGTTCATTTAAGCATTAAATACTTAATGGAGTACAAAAAAGAAACCTTTTAGTGGGTTCTTAATCTCCAACTGATGCTACTTAATCCGTCTCACGTTTTGTGTTCATTTCATTATTAAATACCCAATGGAGTACAAAAAAGAAGCATACTTTCATGGTTTCTTTGTTCTCTATTGAAGAAGGAGAAAGGTCGAATTAAGTATTTGAGTTCATAATGAAAATTGCTTTCTAATAAAAGATATTTGTTTGTGTGTTAACCAGATGGTTATTATTATTATTTTTTTGCCAATTTAAATGTTGTTTTGTGATTAGTTTTCTTTGTAGAGCTCATCTTTTCAGCATCCTTGATTGTACTTCCTGAATACAGGTGCTCTCTGTGGCCGTATATAATCACTACAAGAGGATCTCTAACGACTCTTCACAGAAGTGGTTCGCTCTGGACCTTTAATTGTAATCTATTTTCTTTTCTTTCATTTGAGAATTTTTTTTTTGACAAGTAAAATATATTAGAAAAGCGTTCAAAAGGGGTACGCGTCCCTAATACACAAAAACAAAAAACCTAAAGACCAACAGAGTCCAATAGATTAAAAAAATCATCAATTGAGGAGCAAGCAATGCCTCTTACATAACTGAAAAGAGAACGAAGAATATGAGATTTTAAGTTTGCTAGAGATGGTTCCTTTCCTTCAAAATTTCTGTTATTTCTTTCTCTCCAAATTCACCACCAAACACAGTATGGGACGATCCTCCAAAACTCACGAGCATGACCTTTAACAGGGCATCTTCTCCACGTGTTAATTAATTGAATAGAGTGCTTAGGCATTACCCATTGAACACCAAAAATACTGAATATGAGATTCCAACAATCATACACCACAGGACAATGCATAAGAATGTGATCCACGGACTCACCGTCTGTTTTACATAGGCAACACCAGTTAACAATGGTATTGCCTCTCTTTCGCAGATTATCCAATGTCAAAATCTTTCCCCAGGTAGCAGTCCAAACAAAGAAAGCGACTCTAAGAGGAGCTTTAGAGCGCCAAATAGACTTCCATGGGAAATCTTGGCCAGCGAAATTAGACAAACACAAGAAAATGGATCATACTCCATATCTACCGTGAGTGGAGGGGATGCACAAAATGTCATCACAACCTTTGCCAACATCCTTTTGTCTATACAACAAGTCCAAAAATTTAAATGTGGTTTGCACATATGAAGCTGTGTATTCTTGTCTGCTTGTCTGTTGCTGCTTCATGATACTATTTACCACTTTTACTATGACATCCAACTCTAACATGTGCTACTATATCCTGGAAAGTTAGGTCTGCAGGAGATTCAGTCAACAGCAACATGGATTCCATGGATAATGATTTCGTGGAACTAGAGAAAAGTAACGTTCTTCTAATGGGGCCAACGGGTTCAGGTAATGTATTGCTATCTTTTCCTTTAATCTTTATTGGGCTACACACATGTTTTTATATATATATATATAAAATATTTGGGTGAAGATTTATAATATTTGTTAAGTGGCACCAAAAGGGCAGTGCAACCCATTTATGTGTGAAGTATATAGGCGAACAAAAACAAGGCCACCTTGAATACTTAAGGGGTTGTTTGGCTAGATGGAAACTAGTAGCAGAAAATGAAAGTAGAAGAAAGTGAAGTGAATGAAAGGAAAAATAACTTTCCAATATGCATTGGCATGATTTGTTTTTTTATGGGAAATTATCATTTCATGATTTGGAATGCATGAAACTTATAAGAAAAGAAAGGACGATATTGTAAATTCATAAAATTTTATCAAGAAATAAACAATTTCTTGTGTTTTTTGTTGAATTTTTTTGTAGGAAGTTAGGTGGTTACAAATTTTTTCTGTCCTTGCCATCCAAACTCCTAAAGTGTTTAAAAATTTTCAATTTCTTTTCTTTTCTTGTTGTCTTCATCTAATCTCATGGAGCCTAAAATCCCATAAAATCTACACATGATATAATAGTATTGGGAAAGTTCCTTTTCATTTAAAATTGAGCTGTCATTTAAAATTGAGAAGAATGTAAAGTAAATTCTTCAGCTTGTAAACCGGTAGCTCAATTTCTTTTTCAATTTCAAAAGCATGTCCATCTCTTTCCCTTCAAAATACAACACATAAGACATAGGAGCTTCACTTTCTAAGCTTGTTAAACTTATTAGCCCAGCCCTCAGCCAACAACCAAACAAATCAACCAGCAAGTTGGGCATGTTGCACCCCAAACGGAGAAGAGATTATACACCTAAGATCTCTCGAAAATTTACTATGGAGTAAAAGATGATTGTATTTCTTTTACCATTCCTAGAAATGCAGCAACAACTTGGGAGCGTTTTCCCCATGTTACAAGATGACTATAGTCAAGACTCAAGACTGCATCCAGAGTAGTGGTCCAAGCAGAGATGGAAAGTTAAAAGTATAATAGCTCCCTAAATATCCTTCCAAAACAGAGAGCTTCATAAAAAAGATCACACCTGGAACTTCCCATTTCCATCAACCCTCCAGAACATAGTATCCTCCCTACCACCCTTTACTGGGGCTTCGTATAGGATACCGAAGAAGGTAGCTACCAAATCCAACTCCCAATCTTGTAGCTTCGTAGGGAACCAAGGCTCCCACATCATACCCCCGTTTATAAATCTAACATTGAGAGGTTGCAGCATAATTTTCTGTGGGGGGGTAGAGGTGAAGAGTTTAAATTTCATTTGGTGCGATGGGAACAGGTTTGCAGGCCAATTCGGAATGGTGGGTTGGGTCTCCGTAGATTGGTGCCTTTTAATAAGGCCCTCCTTGGGAAATGGTTGTGGAGGTTTGGTGTGGAGAGACATTGGCTTTGGAGGAGGGTTGTGGCTTGTCGTTTTGGGGAGATGAGAGGAGGGTGGACTTCTCTGGAAGTGAGGGATCCTCGGGGGTTGGGGGTCTGGAAATTTATTCGGAAGGGGTGGGATATATTTTCCAAACACATTTGGTTTCGACTTAGAGATGGGAGGAGGATTTATTTTTGGGAGGATGTGGTGTGGAGATGTTCCTCTCGCTCTCACTTTTCCTCAGCTTTACAGGATTGCTTCGGATAGGCAGGCTATGGTGGTCAACTGTTATCATCTTGATATTGGGAGACTGGTTTGGGATGTTCGATTCAGGCGTTTCTTTCAAGATTGGAAGATCGAGGAGGCCATTCGTTTCTTGGAGTTGTTGTATTGCCAGAGGATTGTGGAGGAGGATTCGGATTGTTGGTCTTGGGTTGCAAACTCCCAGGGGCGTTTTGAGGTGAGGTCTTTCTTCAGGTGTCTCTCGTTTGACCCTGGAGTTTGTTTTCCTTGGAAGTCTGTTTGGCATTCTAAGGCTCCTCTCGAGGTGGCTTTTTTTGTGTGGACTTCGGTTCTGGGTAGGATCTTAACTCAGGATAATTTGAGAAGGAGAAGCTAGGTGGTGGTCAATCGTTGTTTTATGTGTCTTCGTGATGAGGAATCAGTGGATCACCTTCTCATTCATTGCTCTTTGGCTAGAGAGTGTTGGGATTTGATGCTTAGCTTATTTGGGTTTTCTTGGGTTATGCCAGGATCCGCTAGAGGGTTGATTGAGGCGTGGAGAGGTTGCCCTGTGGGGGCTCACAGTCAGGATGCGTGGAGGGCTACGCCGCTTTGTGTGTGGTGGTGTATTTGGCTTGAAAGGAATATGAGATATTTTGAAGGAAAGGCGATGTTGATTTCGGTGTTTAAATTCTCGATTCTTTCCACTCTTTTTTGTTGGGTCTCAGGGAGAGATCATAGATCGTTGGAGGAGATTGTTGACTTTTTGGCCTCCTTGAAGGCTTGAGGCCTTTGTGGTCTTTTGTATTTTTCTTTGGTTCCGCTCCCCTTTTGAGCGTTTTTTAATAGAATTTTATTTATAAAAAAAAAAAAAATAAAAAAAAAAATAAATAAATCTAACATAATCTCCTACCAGAGGTTCTTTATGAAGAGCAATGCAAAAGAGGTCTGGAAAGGTGACTCTTATTGGAACATCACCACGCCACACATCATACCAAAAACAAACTTCATGGCCATTTTTCATTACAAAGCTGATGTTTCTGGAAAATGCCTCCTCCCCTTTCTAATATCCTTCATATTTTACAATGTTTGATATTGTAAGCTTTCTTTCTCTTCTTGACCTAGGTTGCCCTCCTATCATCCTGGAATACACTTTCTGTTCTGGCCCCGTACTATCCCATCTTCAAAGAAACGGAACATATAATCTTTGAACCCTGACAAGAAACTCCCAAGGCTGAGGGCCTTGATTTTTTTGTTACCTGCTAACACTTCTCAGGATTTCAGCTCATTAACTTTTATCAGTGGCTGAATGTGATTTTCCCACCAAGGGGTGAGCACGTCTAGAGGAGTATCGGAATGTTGAAGTGCACCTATAAATATGAACTACGTCTCCAGCTTTTGTAAACGAAACTAGTTTAACTTTCAATGGGTAAAAATCGAGACTTCCTTGAGTCACGTGTTACATGAACATCTTTCTATTATCTAGTGCTCATCCCATCTATGTCGGTGCTGCGATAGAGAACTTTAAATATCAGTTGCAGGTGATGGATCAACAATTGGAAGCATTCACTTATTGTGATTTTCAGGAATATGAAGATCCTTATTATTGCCTATTTTGTTAATAAAGTTGCTGTTAATGTTGTAGTCACTACTGTTTTGTGATTGTAAGAGTTTTTAAGCATGTTGGAAAGTAAAAAATTTAGATTCAAGTGCCTTCACTCTTTTTAATAAACATCCACAGTAATGCTAATGAATTAATTTCTTTATTTTTTCTCCTAACTAACGTTTTTTAAAAATTAAAATGGATTAATTGCAGAAAACACCCTTGTATTATAGAATTGTGCGCATATCACCCCTGTAGTACCAATTGTGTATATAACTTCAACACATTTGAAAATTTGGTGCAACTTGCCCCCTTCTGTCAAGGATCCGTCAACAAACAGCCGGAAAGTAGTCACATGTTGGACACATGAGAAGACTTTTATATTTTCCTTGGTCAAAAACTGTTGTGGAGGAGTCTCCTGGTTGGCACGTGAGAGGACTTTCATCTCTCTCTCTCTCTCTCTCTCTCCATCATCCTTGCCCCATAGACAGCATATCTCTCCACCATGGCAAAACCCTTCTCCACGCACTCCTCTCAATCCCCTCCCAATCATCCTCCTCATAACTTCCAGTCAATTTCCCTTCAACTCCACTCCCCTTCGTCTCTCCACACACACTTTTATCATCAACATCATTTTTCCCCAATTCCACTTCAATCTCATTATCAACCTTAGCATTCTCAACATTTCTTTGAGCTTGAAATTCAATCATCAGGAAGCGATCTTTGAGCTTGAAATTCTTCAACAGTTTCTGTAACTTGTTTAACTCTGAACTATAAATCTGCTACCAAACTTCACCTCCTTCACAACAGTTTCGAAATCAACAAGGCACAAGCTGACCCAAAACCAAACCCCAATAATCCCCTCATCTCTCTCTATCTCTCAACAAAGCACAAGCTGACACATTTGGGACACATCAAAGACACACCCACCCAATAACTATCTCTCTTGTAAAATTTGATTTTGGGTATATATACAAAACTTCCGTGGTCCGAAGCGTTTACCAAACTCAAAAGACCATCAGCACCACCGTCCATAGCATCATCATCACCGCATCTTTGTTCTCGCTGTTGTCGTTGTCATTGTCACCATTGATGATCTGTATCACCGCGCGCTTCTCGTACGGACGAGCCTGAAGTGGCTGCTGATTCGCCGCCATCATCGTCAGTCCAAGACCATCAAAACTGAAACTCCAATATGCGGAATCCTAATTCTTCTAACCCCAAGTCCGAAACCTCCTGTTCCATTGAAGACACAGAATCAAACTCTCTAATTTCAAGACCCTAACCGGATAACCCTAGATTGAATTGAACTAAATTGAATGGAAGTGAATTGAATAGAAGAGAGAGAGAGAGACGTGGAGAGAGAAATAGAAAGAGATGTGGAGAGAGAGAAACCTGTAAGCACGACATCGTATTTATGTAACGTCTCTTTTAATATAAATTTTCATAACAAGGGTATTTTAGTCATTTACTAGCCCTGTTAACAGTAGATGGACGGAAGGGGCCTATTTGAACCAAATCATTAGGAGGGGGGTGTTTTTAGAACAGGAGGGGTGTCATACTTATATGCATACCATAGGGGTGTATTTTGCATTTAATTCAAATTAAAATTGATGAAAATCAAAGCTCGAGTAGATATTACTTCCATTGATTATGTCATGTTTATGTTGATTACTGAATTCACTCATAGACCTTTGATGTTGTTTCAAGGACAGGGAAAACATTACTTGCCAAAACCTTGGCACGATTGGTGAATGTCCCCTTTGTTATTGCAGATGCCACTACACTTACTCAGGCAAGTTGGTAGTCCTTCATCGTTGTGTTTTGATGGGATACAATTCTTCTGGCTTTCACCTGTTCTGGTAATTTATCGCTTAGTTTTATGCATTGAGCCTGCATGTTCTGAAGGTAGCTTCTTTTCAGTTTGCTGTATTTTGTACCTGAAAGAACTACCCTTAACTTTTTTTTTTTTTTTTTTCCCCGTAGTTGGTACTCACACACACATGCCTCCACTTAAGCTCGAACCCTTGACCTCCCTTTGGGAAGTAGGGGTTTGGTACCACTGGCCCATTGGTAGAACTACTCTAACTTGCGTCTAAGTTTTTCTGTTTTCTGTATTTTGTGTAAGTTTTCCTGAAAGAACTACTCTATATTTGATAAACAATGATGTGAAATGGAAGTTTTATTTTTATTTTTTTTATTTTATTGTTTTACAGTAAGTGTTGAATTCATGACTAGTCTAAGGAAAATGATCATGTTGGTTTTAGTTTAAAGCACAAGCTTAGTTCTCTCTCATTCTCTCACACACAAAGTTTAAAGAGCCAATCGGTTGATAATTTTCAAGTTCGACATTTTATAAACTATCAGAGTTGTGAAGAGCCAATCTGAAGATAAATACTAAAGTCAACATTTTATAAACTATGAGTAAACTGAAGAAAAGTTACATCACCTATCAGTTTTAAGCAAATCGTTTTTTTCTTTCTTTTTTTCCAAGTTTAGTTTTTATTCCCCCTTTCAAGAAATGAACAATATTACTGAAAGAGAGCCAATAGGGGCCCTAATGTACATTTTCAGTTGAGAATATGAAAAAAGGAACATGCTTCAGAATATATATATCTATATATACACATTTGGTTGAAAATTTGGTATGGAGAAATATGATTTTTTGTGTGACCATGACAACATACTGTTTATGCAGGCAGGATATGTTGGGGAAGATGTGGAGTCCATATTGTACAAGCTCCTCACGGTAAGTTTCCACAAACCTATGTGAAGTGTATAGATTTCTGTAAAGGTCGCTGTATATTTTACAATATTTGGTCATGGATGCTTTTTCTGCTTCTAGTTTTGTGATTTATATCCTCCTCAGCTCATCAACTTTACACTTTATGTCAAGTTCTCAGAGTTCGTTTTCCTGCATTGTTGAGCATCTGAGAAAATGAAGTTTCAGACATTCAAAAACCAATTATGGTATTTTTGTTTCAAAATTTTACCGGACTGAATCTGGAGTTCCACATCTTGTCTGGAAAAAACCATACTCAGATGAGAAGGAAAATTTTATCAGTACTCACAGAAGAAGATGTCCCATATTGTAATATGTTGTTGCCTTGATGCTTGGGCAGCAATGGATTTTCTAAAAATTGGGGGATAAAACCAGTGAGACACTTGCATAAAAATACAACCAACGAGACTCAAACTTCTTTTTTGATTTGTAAACTGATAGCATCTGGACTTTCTTTTCTTTCCCTAGTTTGTACTCACACATCCCCCCTTCAAGGAATTGTTTGCACCTAGCAAGAATCGATCTTGAGACCTGATGCTTCATGAGGCACCAGGGCCCAAGTTTTTTCCAACTAGGCCAATCCTTGGGGTTATCTGGACCTTTGAGATATTCAGCTGTTACAAGATTCTCTATCTCGTTATTACAAAAGAATAATGATCTTGACTAACACTGTCTGCTTCTAAGTTGCCCAACTATTTTTTCTTGGGGTGAGTCCTTATATTGACAAATTCCTACATATATTTTACTTTAAATTTGTTTTACATTGGACCATCTGAACTTCTAATAAAATAGAAAAAAAAAATGATATACTATTTAGCTCCTAAAGTCATTGCACCATTGCCATGGGAGAAAAAGTGCACACTGCAATGAGAAGTTTTTAATTAGTGCAGCAATCATGCTTGCTTAGCTACATCCTTTTGTTGCTTTTCATATATAATCTTGGTTACTTCTTTTTCATAATTTATTGGTTGGATCATAGTTATTTTTTCTTGTTATCGATTGGTGATCCTGGTCTCCTTTTATCACAGGTAGCTGATTATAACGTGGCAGCTGCCCAGCAAGGCATTGTATACATTGATGAAGTCGACAAAATTACAAAGAAGGTTTCTTAACACTAACTCGGGGTTAAGAATTAATTTTTAAAATCTTTCATAACTTTCTTCATATCTTCATACGTCTTTAACTTTTTAATTCGCAGGCTGAGAGCCTCAATATTAGCAGAGATGTATCTGGGGAGGGTGTCCAGCAGGCATTACTAAAAATGCTGGAAGGAACGGTAAGCGTGTCATTTGCTTCATGAACTGGAAATTTATGTAAATCATGGTCACTTGTCAATTTATTGGCACCATGGAGGCAACATGGTGCTGTGGCAGCAGTCTCTGGGTAATAGACCATCTGTTGGTATCTAGTTCAATATTTGTCATAGAGAAACAAAATTAATTCATAGCAGCAAAGACTGGAGTACAACAACCACCATCTTTCTTAATCCCAGCAGCGTCAAGTAAAAACCCAATAGATAGAATAAAATAAAATAGATGCTAAAATAAAGAAGTAGATGCTAAAATAAAGAAGCATATTATATAAGTCTAGTCCTTTTAGTTGGTTTGTTGTTCTAGCAAGTGTGCTTAGTAGATACCACTGACTAGTGACTCGTATCCTTTCAATTCTGTTGTCTTTAGTTTTGGAGTTGTGTTAGTAAATCTGCTTGAAATTGGTGTTAATTACTAATAAATTGGCTTTAACATTCTGGAGGTTCTGCAGATGCGTGGTTTATTTTGAAGTCTCAAAAATGCTGATATGGTCATCATTAAATTCTATAAATTCTCATATTTTTTATTGATTTATTGATTGAAATGAGTTATTGCAATTGTTTAACACCTCTCACCCAACACACACACACAACCAAGAGCCCCATAAAAAATCGTATTTCTTTGAGCTACTGCACTGAATTTGCTCTGTCTAAAATCTGCAATAGATTATTCGATTGATTTGAGTTTAGTGTTACGGTGAAATGTAGAATTGCGTATTGCATATTAGATCCACTATGGTTAAGATCGAATAGTTAATTATTGCATACTTTACTTATGGAGCTCTTTCTGTCCAGCTAGTCAATGTCCCAGAGAAGGGAGCTAGAAAGCACCCTAGAGGTGACAATATTCAGGTATGCTTGCAGTTTTTATTGTACAAATGTACAATTTTAATGGTCATGAGGAATGTACTTATTTTTAGTGTAGTAAAGTTATGATCAATATACTCTCATTTGGATACCTTTATTTGCAAAATTCATTGTGAAACCCACCACAGTAAAGTGTCAATCATGGAATTTTGTGTGTTAATGTTTCAAAAACACCCAGATTTTTCCCCCTATAATTCTGAAGGGACATCTTGATGGTTGCTGCAGGTTTATTGAATCTGGATACCAATTACTAAATAATTTTTGAATAGTTTCTTTTGGCTGTCTCAAATTTTTTTCCCCTGTTTTTTATATTCCATGCCTTTTCACTGTTCAAAATTCGCACTTTCTGCTTATGCTTTCATTTTCTCACTAATGCGTACTTCTGAAGTTGGTTGCTGTAGCAATAAGTTTAGTGTCAACTTTTGAAAGAGCTCCATCGGTGTATACTAATGAACATTTTCTGATTATTTTAGTAGCCACAACTTGGTCAATGAAGGGAAAAATATATTTTGTGCAGTGGCAGCAAATATGATCTATGGTGACGAAACTGTGAGAGAGAGAGAGAGAGAGTTTTTGTTGTCGTAAAACATATGATAAATAGGCATTTTTTTCCGTTAAATATTATGGAAATATGATATTAGAAAATATCATATTGAGATGCCTTTTACTTTTTGTATTTCCTGTAAAGTGAAGTCAAAAAGACTGAAAGGAGGAAATTTAGCCGATTCTTAAATTTCTTTGACACCACTCACTTGTCATGTTTCCTGGATATATGATGGGTGATATTTCTGTAGGTATATCCATTTTTTTAACTACAAAATGTAACTAGCCTTATATTTGATGACACTTACATTTCATTCTTTTTGTTGTGTTTAAGACCTGATCGGGACAATATTACGTATCCATAACAGAGTTCTGCTGACTTTGTTTCGGATGTCTCTTATCACATCTTCTGCTATGACTTTTGAATTATTAATCAGTTAAACATCTTCATGTTATTTATATTTTTCACAGATCGACACAAAGGATATTCTTTTTATATGTGGGGGTGCCTTTATTGACTTGGAGAAAACGATTTCAGAGAGGTTATTACTGTTTAGAAAATTGCAACTGTTTGCCTCGTGCATATTACCTCCATGTAACTTTTCCGCAACATCAAGTTTTCTGCATCCTTTTTCAGGCGCCAAGATTCTTCTATTGGGTTTGGTGCACCAGTACGTGCAAAAATGAGGACTGGAGGTGTTACAAGTGCTGCTGTAGCATCATCATTATTGGAAACTGTAAGCTCTCTCAACCCTTTGACTGATAAGTGGCTGCTCAATAGCCTTCTTTTTTTTCTATTTTTATTTTTAATATATAATAGAAAGAAATTTTCTGTCTTTCCTATGCACACAATAAAACGTGATTGTAAATCCTGTATGAATTGTGATGTTTGGCAGGTTGAGAGTAGTGATCTTATTGCATATGGTTTGATACCTGAATTTGTTGGAAGATTTCCCATCCTTGTTAGTTTGTCGGCTCTCACTGAGAATCAACTCGTGCAGGTAACATTTGGATTTTGCAAACAAATGTGTGTCAGATATATATGTGTGTGTGTGTGTGTGTGTGCATATGTATTCATTTAGTTACTGAAAGAAAAGATCATTAAAAGTACAAAAAGAATTCATTAAGAATGCCAGGAGTACAAATTTTTTTTATTAAGAATGCCAGAAAGGACAGAGAATGCTATGTATTCAAGATATATACAAGAAAACCAATAAAAAAAATGAAAATAAAAATAATTAGTCTCTCATAAAATCAACAAAAGAATCTGTGGACATATATCCTATCTCCTATTCTGCTTCCCCCAACTGCTCCACATAAGATACAACTATATAATGAAGCCAAATCTCAAAATGTTCTCTCTTTTGTTTCACAACTGGTCTCATTCTAGCTAACCAAGAGATCAGGATCTTAACAAGGAAGAAGGCTCCATATCCTCTGAGCAAAGTCACAACGATGCTGCAGATTGTTGGCATTCTCCCCTGCCCTTTACACATGAAGCAGCATTCCTACTGATATTCTTTTCTTTATATTATCAATGGTTAAAATTGTTCTCTTGCCACTTCCCAGGACCCACACAAAGAAAACCACCTTCAAGTATGCTTTGGTTTGCCAAATCACTTTCCAAGGATATGTCAGCTAGGCATGATCAGTTTATTTACATTATGCTAGTATAATTATGGATTGATGAGCATAACAAGTCTATAATTTATAATACATCAGTTAATAAATAGAAGAAATGAAAAAGGGTAGCTGGATAAGCAGATTTTTCTTATGACCATTCTGACTGATTGTCTTCATGCTATGAAGTCTTGCAGACAAGATTTTATATACTTCTCCCCCAACCCCCCCAAATACCAATGAGAATGTGTTCAGTGGAAACCGTTTGATTGATATAATTGGTTTAACTCTTTTCTTAACAATTCTACATTTCTTAGAATCATATTCTTATCTGTTATTGAGCCTAAATAATGATTTTGTCAGTATATCTTATTATTTAGTTCCTCATTATTGATAATATTTTGTAGGTACTAACAGAGCCAAAAAATGCCCTAGGGAAGCAGTACAAAAAGATGTTTCAAATGAATGGGGTAAGTTTTTCTTCTCTGGCCCTTCTTCTTTCACACATATTTCTGGAAGGCTCAGGCCATCTATTTTAAATGTTGACATGTCCAGTAATAGGCTTGGTTCGTCTATAAGGATATTAGAAATGGACATTTTTCTCTGTTTCCGCACTTCCTTTTTCTGGTAGGAAGTTTATTTTTCAGATAAAAATAATTTGTGCTTTTATTTTTCAGGTAAAGCTGCATTTCACAGAAAATGCTTTGGGATCAATTGCTAAGAAAGCAATATCAAAGAATACCGGGGCCCGGGGCTTAAGATCCCTTTTAGAGAATATTTTGATGGATGCTATGTATGAGGTTTGTGATTTCTTCTTTCTTTGACAATGTTGACTTTGGTTAGAAGTGAGGAGAATTTAAGATGCTAACTCTAGGATTTTGCTGGGTCTCCAACGTCAGAGATTTGATTATCTTGCTTCAAGTAGAACCTGGAATTATGGGGAGGTTGATAGACATATAATATCTGTTCAGAAATTGAGGATTCTTGACAATTTTTTGACTGGAGTTGAGAACGCTAAACTCTTATATCTTGCACAAATTGCAGAAAACAGAAAAAAAAATCTAGTCATAAATATGTGTCTCTTTATTGTAGCTACAAAGCTTGTAAAATTCGTTGCAGTCATCCAGTCATGGAAGTAGTATGAAGAAAAACATAAAGTTGTTAATTTGGAAAGGTTTCTGCTCCTAATCCTTTAGGTTTAGGATTCTTGCGTAAAGGGATAACCATTAGTTAGTAGCATCCTGTTAGGTTAGGATGAGGTGACTTCTCCATCATTCTCTCTAAAGAAGAGCTTTACACCATGACCATTCAGTTGGATCAAATCATCTGGTTTTTGTATCAGTTAGTCCACTGCTGTGCTTTTCTTACTGTTCAAAGCAATCTGTGGCTTGGACTATCCCATCAACTTGTGGTAATTGATCTACGAGGTCTTATGATCTGTTTGTGCTGAACTAGATTGTTGTCCTGCTTGTTTGTTTGTAGACATTAGCCCAGTGGAATGAGCTGTATGGATGATATTATAATAAAGTGTAGTTACTTGGGCGAACCCCTTTTTTCTTGTGTGGACCAAATCTACAAAATTGGTACGAATGGACAGAACAGCAAGTGGCCACTAGAAACTCATTCCCTTTTCAACTGATTTCTGTTATTTCGTCTATTGTTATATCAAACATTATAATATGTATTTTTTATCTTAGAAAAATCTTCGAATCTTTTGCAGATTCCGGATGAGAGAACAGGCGATGATATAATAGATGGTGTAGTAGTTGATGTGGAGGCTGTTGAATCCGAGGGACGTGGGTCTGGAGCTAAAATCCTTTATGGCAAGGATGCATTGGACCGCCATCTTTCACAACATAAGCAGAAAGATTTAGAGGTGCATATGACTAATAAGCCAAATGTATCTTCTTAACTTCTTGTGTGCATGTTAAAATAAAATAATTTTCTACAAACTGACGCTTCAATTATTTTGCAGACAACTGTGGAGACGTCTGATGGAGATTCTGAGGTGGAACCGGAGCTTCCCTCCATAGTCGCATTGTAACTTATTCATGAGGTTTATTTCTGGTCTGACCCATGTACAGTAGATAAATTAAAATGGAAACATTAATTGAATAAATTAAATATGCAATCATTCTATAATTGTTGTACTTTCAGCTTTCTGATTAAATTGTGCAGTGACCGTCTTGTCCGAAAAAATGTAAACTTCAGACGTCGATTCTGAATCTTTAATGACACCTTTCTCACGTCCTTTGTTGGTCTTCAAGCGTGGCGCTTGTCTGAAACCAAATGCTGCGAATGGTTGAGAATTTTTGGATGAGATGAAATGATCAATGGAGTAGGGATTTTTTTTTTTTTTTTCTCGTCAATTCAAATACAGGGGCAGCTCAACTCACTCTCTCTCTCTCTCACACACACACACACAATTTGGTGTGATAGTTGAAGGGAATGTTTACTTATAAAAAATAAATAAATGAAAATAGTTTAAGGGAATGTTTGGATTTTGAGCTTTTATGCAACTATTGATCAACCATGGTAAAGGCTCCATTCACTAGATGCATCAGGGTCTATTTCATTTTAATCATGTGATGCTCATCAAGTATTTGAGTCTTTTCTTGATGGGTCAATTTGACTGACTTTAATCACTACCTTAATCCTGGTGACCAATAATTGTACACGACCTCCCTTTACGAAATATTGTTTGCCTTTTTTTCACTCTTTTTCTATGCAATCAAATTAATCAATCATGTTGGTGGAGTATTTTAATGGAATTAATTGAGAAGCACCAAGGGTATTGAGCCAAATGGCAAGTGAGAACTTTAATTAAGGCCAAATGGATATTGAGTAAAGAAAAAATTAATTGAAAATCACAACGTCACATATTATTAATATATATTTTTGACATTTTCTTTTAGTTGTGATCAAACAATAGAACATGGTCTGGTGTAAAGAACCTATTGATCAATGTGAATAATACTTGAAGGTAGGTGCTTGTGGAACCCACTTGGCACTCATGAAACCCAATTCTTCCAACACATGAATTAACAAAAATCAAAATATGTAATGACCTTTTTAACCTATCTATTTGGTTCAATTATTTACTTCGTAATGTATAGATAAAGTGAGGGGTAGTGGAAACACATAGATCTGGGGTAAGATTTGAAAGGACATAATTAAAAATATCATATTTGGGAAATTGCAATTGGTCAAAATAGTTTGAATATATTAAAAAAAAAAATGACAATAATGCTTGAAAAATAAAAATATATACGATAATACGTGATTTGATTGGAACTATGATTTTAGATGAAGAGAAATAAAAATATATGATTCATGTAACTAACCCAAATTGTTCAAGGAAAAAAAGACTTTTATTATTATTATTATATTTACTTCTTGTTAAAATTTAAAAATACACCTCACTATTTTGTTCAATTAATTAGAATTTTTCTAAGCATGCAACATACGTTATTTAATTTCCTGATTTATTAATGTCACATTAAATAGAGGAGATAGGCTTATTAGCTTATTAAACTACTGAGTATTGACAATTATCATCGTATTAGATTTCGCTGTAAACCATATTACCTGTTTTCTTAACTGAAAAAAATTAAGCAAACATGAGGTGAATTTCTAACCGTTGGATTTCGATCTAACTCCTCCGAGTTTCAAAATTTCCACGGTCATCCTTATTTCTCTCTCTTCACATAAACTTGGAAGAGAGAGAAAGTGATAAAAAACGAAGAAAATAACCTCTTTTTCAGGGAAGAAAGGGCTTGTTTGGTTCTTCAGAATCGATCCCCCCCTCTATTATTTTATTTAAAATTCTTTTGGTTCGTCTTTCTTAATCAACTTTGCGTGATGAAGGGAACGAGAGAAAATGAAAGAAAATAAAGGAAAACAAAAACAAACGCGAGAAAATTGAGGGAAAAATCAGCAATTTGGGATTTGAATTTTGAGTTCTACTGTGGTGTTTGAGGGTTGTGAAGGAACGATGGATTTGGATAACATCGAGTGCATCTCGTCTTCCGATGGCATGGAAGATGAAGAGATCCACCACCATCATCATCCTCATAATCATCATCATCATCCTCATCAGTTCTCGGCGAAACTTCACAACAATATTGTAGTCCCCTCTGGAATTGCTCCTCCCACAAGCGTCCACGAACTGCTAGAATGTCCTGTTTGCACTAATTCTATGTATCCACCAATCCATCAGGTTTGCGCTCAATTTCTTTTTTTTTTTCTGGGTCTTTACATATATCTATATGTGTATAATTGGGATTTGCGTATTCCATATGATAATTCTGGAAATGGGGTTGAGTAGAAATTTGATTTGGTTTTTATAAATTTCTTGGATTTTGGTTGAATTTGGGTGAAGAGGAGGCTGAAATCGGACATGGGTTCAAAGATTGTTGATTTAGGATCTTCTTCTCTTCTATTTGTATTTTATTTATTTATTTATTTTTATGGACTTGTTTCACTTTTATTAGGTAGAGCACTGTGCTAATGATTGTGTAATGTTGGTCTTATTGCAATCAACGCATTAGAATGTCTGGTAATAGATGCTTCTAGCATGCTGAGTGTAGAAGTCATGCAGATCCATCAATTACTCCAATTTAAACTACAAATGAAATGAAAATATTAGTAAACTATTTTTGCTGCTACTGGAAAATAATCTGACGCAGTTAGATGAAATAAACCCATAATAAGTTGGAACTTTGATTTTCTCTTTTTTTATGGGGCAGACCTCTAAAATCAACTCCCGACCATGATCAATTGACTGTTCTTACAGCTAATAACACCAAAATTGTTATATTAAGCCTTGATACAGTATTTTTGGCACCTTCAATAAATAACTGGGAGCTACATTTCTGTAGGAAAGAAGTGACTTCGACAAAAGTTAACTTTTCGCGATTTAAATGTCACTTCTTGTGATAAATGGATACGAGATGCAGCACACACTTTTATTGGATTTTGGTGCAACGTGGGTAAGCTTAATTAGATTACTTTTTGGAAGGTGATAAGCTAGTTTAAAGTCGAGGATTGGTTTTGTTTCTAATTGAAAGTAAAAGAGTTTTAGAAGTGTAGAGGTATATATTCCTGTGTGTGCATTTTTTTTATAGGTCCTAATAAAATTTTAGGAGAAAGAAATATAGATGAAAGAAGGGAACATTGTTCAAATGAAGGTAGAAAAACTAGAAATCGAAAGTCAAAGCTTAAGTAAAACTACAGGCACCAATGGAGGCTAGCACTATAATGAACACTTGTAGAGGCTTGCCTGTTGGCTAGAAAGTGGCCTCTGAGTTAGCTGATTTTGTAACCCATAATATTTGATCCTCTGATCCCTTATTAGGTCTCTCTTTATGAGCATAAGGTATCTATATCCCCAAGTTTTGAGACGATCATAATCAGTAGAATGAATCATGCTAGAGGACTAATTTTCCACCACTGTTTTAAATAATGGCAACACCTGCCGTAAAAATGATTGTCCTGGTGGCATAGACATAGTTGTAATAATGAACCGCATTCGCCACCAATGGTTTCCCCACCAAATGCCTTCAAAAATGTTATCTCTGCCTACTACAACCGTTAATAAATCCGGAAAGAAAAAAAAAAAAATTATATATATAAGGGTCTTGCATGGTCTGGTTTTATTTGCTAGTTTAAATGCCTTCCGGTACATTATTTCTTGCATATTGTGGTGGTCAATTGATAGTTGATGAGGCTTTTCTAAATCTGCCTACCTATGGAGAGAAAAGATCAGTGGGGACTTGTTTGATTCCGACTTTTAGAGCAACTATGTTGAATTTGAAAGTGTTAATAGTATTTTTTCTTGCTGAATATCTCAGCCTGCAACTTAGTATCATATTTAATTTTCTTTGTTCATGCAAAAAAGATTTAAGTTGTACTATAATATGATTGATATATCATACTTTGACTGACTCATTAAATCTATAATGAGAAGTGATGAGTTGGTTAATATTTCATATTTGGTCTTTAATAACCAACGCATTGGATCTATTATAATTATAACTGCAAATTTATGTCTTGTTTTGCTACTATACCAATGATATTTTGGTTCTGAATGCATTTTATCTAGCATTTTCGTGGATGTTGGCATATGTCATTTTAAGTTTATTGACAGCAAGTGTTCTTTAGCCAAGGAGGTGATACATGTGTGGTGTGAGAGCTGACTGGTTGGATTCAGATGCGAGCGTTGCAATATAGTCAACAGCTTAAGGACATGAATTTCAGTCTAGAGGTTTTAGAGAGTTCAAGCTTGGTCAGCATCTGGGTTAAGGAGCTCAGAGCCAATACAGGGCTTCTAGGAATGTAAAGCACATCAGAGCCGCTGCTCATGCCTGGTGTTAGAAGCATGACATTAAATCTTTCTTCCTTTAGTTTTTTTGTCAAGATAAACTACTCCTACATCCAGGATCGGGGCTACCTCTAGCCCTCAAACAGCCACCAATCTAATATTTCTAGAACTCCCTACAAGGGATATTACCTAGTACTGTTCCTGTTGCAGCGGGGTTCTGGGGAGTGAGGACTTGAGACAAACCTAACCTTTGGCAATTCACAAAGTGGCTGCTATGAGACCCGAACTTGCACCAATGGCACTAATGTTTAAGCATTAAATTGTTGAACCAGGCAATGGCCTTGGTGTCCGTAAATCCCTACGTCAGCATAATGATAGGGATTCTGATGTCACTGAGGACTAGGCAGGGTAGTTGTCTAGCACTAGGGCATTTAAAAAGGGCATTGACCTATCTCCCACTGCCAGGGTAGGTTTGTCTGGTTCAACAAGTCCTTGGAGAGTAGTTGATAGTTCCTGAAAATAGAGTAGACTCCAAGGTGATGTTGCCGATCGGCTGATATGTACTATAGCCATGTGATTGAGTCACAATTATGGACTTATATACGTCAGCAAAGTTGGTTAGATAAGGTATTTAATTTTAGTTGTAAAGGAATCCAACTTATATTTGAAATGGCCCTGGATTTGCAATTTATTTTTTCTTTTTGGAGTTCAGTTTTTAGAATTTGGTCAGATGATTGGTAATCAAATGCTAGTATGATATTCCTGGTAGGCACTATTGAAATGTTTCGTTTACTGTTTTCTTTTTTCTTTTTTTGAAATTTCGAATTATATACGTCAGCAAAGTTGGTTAGATAAGGTATTTAATTTTAGTTGTAAAGGAATCCAACTTATATTTGAAATGGCCCTAGATTTGCAATTTATTTTTTCTTTTTGGAGTTCAGTTATTAGAATTTGGTTAGATGATTGGTAATCAAATGCTAGTATGATATTACCAGTAGGCACTATTGAAATGTTTCGTTTACTGTTTTCTTTTTTCTTTTTTTGAAATTTCCAGATTCATGAGCTCTTTTGGCTCTGTTTGGAACTGTTCTTGATAATTTGATGTAGTCTTATGCAACAAGGGTGATAGCATCTACCCTGATCTCTTAAGATTTTGTTTGTGCCATTATAGCTTGAAGTTGGTTTATTAAACGTTACTGTGGGATATGTTGCTCATTTTTTTTATTTTATTTTGACAAGGATTCTTGAGTGAGTGTCTCTTTCATCTTCTGCCATGAAGAGAGGATTGTTATTTATACTTAATTTGTTTTCAGACTGTTATCTTTGCCTGTATTTATTGGCATAATTGCAGCCCATTGTCTCACCAAAACAGCAAAATATTCTGAGGATCCATACAATCTGAGATTTTATTCTAGTTGCCAAGAAATTTATGTGATTGGCAACTTTTTGGTTTATAATCCCTTTGCATCTTGTATCTTGTTCTTTGTTTCCCACTATTTATGCATTTTTTTTGGTTTTGAATGTTGTAGTTCTTTTTACATAAAACTAGAAGTCCTTACTGGGATGAGGAATAGCTTTTCTTTTTGGGACTACGGTTTTTCTGACTAGTGTTGCCCAAACACAAACACAAATAAGATTTTCTTTTTTTTCCTCTGTTATACCTTTAAAATGTCGTATTAACATTCTTATGTCACAAATGCAAGTGGCTCCTTGTAACAGAATTCCTTTTTCTTTTTTTCAGTGTCACAATGGACATACACTTTGCTCTACCTGTAAAACAAGGGTGCACAATCGGTGCCCCACTTGTAGACAGGAGCTTGGAGATATTAGGTGCCTAGCACTGGAGAAAGTGGCAGAGTCGCTTGAACTGCCATGCAAGTATTTTTCACTGGGATGCCCGGAGATATCTCCATATTATAGCAAACTGAAGCACGAGGCAATGTGCAACTTCAGACCGTACAATTGTCCATATGCTGGATCCGAGTGCTTTGTTACTGGAGATATTTCTTTTCTGGTTTCCCATCTCCGAGACGATCACAAGGTGGACATGCACACAGGATGTACATTCAACCATCGCTATGTAAAGTCTAATCCACGTGAAGTTGAAAATGCCACCTGGATGTTAACAGTAAGTGTATTACTGACTTGAGTTCTTACATTTGAATTTGCATGGAGAAAACGTTTGTCTAAATATCAAGATTTGCCTGTCAAATATACCTTCCATATTGGACATTTGTCCAATTGAAATCACTGATCTTTGCCTGCTAAATCTTTGAACCTGAGTAACTTGTTTATATACTCCTTCCATCTAGTCAGTGGGCAATTTCTGTTTAAGGAGCATCCCAAACCACATGGAAATGAAATCATCTTATATTGTTTTACATGGTATTGGAAACAAATATTCTTGGCTATTAAATTGGTATACTTCGTCTTTTTAATGTGATTGCTTTTCGAATCTAAATAGAATTTCAACAAAGGATGTTATTTATTTATTTTTAATCATCTTTATTTTTTGTATTTATTTGGTGCATGTCTATGCGTGCCTTCTAATATTAGCATATAGTTCAAATATAGAGCACTGTCGTGGTCATGTGGTTCCTGTATTACCTTACTGGGTTGGATTGGATGCATTCCTTATTATTAAAGTAACCTGAAGATGCAGTTAGATAGACCAGTGGGCCACCATTTGAACAGATATAACACCATAAAGGATGAATAACTGAACAAACTTGTCATGTGTACTTGTCTCAATATATTCTTAGTTCACAAATTTTGCTGACTCCTGCTTCTTTTGTCAGGTTTTCCATTGTTTTGGTCAATATTTCTGCCTTCATTTTGAAGCCTTCCAGCTTGGAATGGCTCCCGTATACATGGCGTTCCTCCGTTTTATGGGCGACGAGACTGAGGCTCGCAATTACAGTTACAGCCTGGAGGTTGGGGCAAATGGCAGAAAGCTCATATGGGAGGGCACCCCAAGAAGCATCCGGGATAGCCATCGGAAGGTCAGGGATAGCCACGATGGTCTTATTATCCAACGAAACATGGCACTTTTCTTCTCTGGTGGAGACAGGAAAGAGTTGAAGCTGAGAGTTACAGGGAGGATATGGAAGGAACAACAGAATCCAGATGGTGGGGTTTGTATACCGAACCTCTGTAGCTGAGCCAAGTAATTTTGAAGCCATTTTTATGATTGTGTGTTTTACTAGTCAGTGCCGCGTACCCATGTCAATCTTGTATGGTGTGTTATAGTCTCAAGAAGACTTGAAAGTATGTTGGTGTTGGAGGTTTTTGTAGCTGTTATAAATTATTTAATAAACAGCTCATTCTCCTTTCTCTTGCCTTGTGTCCCTAATGGTGGATGTCGTCTATCTGTTATATAGCTTTTGAATGGGTCATAGCTCATAGGTTGTTCTCCTTTTGCTGGCAATTAGTTGGTGTCATTAACTGTAATTGCGCTCATGTAGCCAATTCATTAGACATAACAAATGAACAAATTGTAGCAACCACCAGAAATTGATTGGTAACCATATTGACGTGATTTTTCATTCAGTTTAGTAAGCTTGAGAAGGGGAATGATAGCCGTTGATCAATTGTTTTTTGGAGAACATCACAGGGGAGGAGTTTGTGAAACTTCAAATCAGATTGACATCTTTTCATTGCCATAGACTTTCTGAATTCGGGTGCAGCTTTTGGTGCTCCCGTATAGCTTTGAGGCGCTCCACCTCCTCTCCGGTGTTATCGTTTTGAGTCAGCACCTCACGTAGATTTTTGTAGAAAAAGAACAAGTGATGAAATGTTCCCAAATAGATGTGTTAATCGTATCATCAATTAAATAAGGTAATGTAGGTGGCTTTAGTTTCAATAGATTTTTTAGGAACATGGGTAGCTTTACGTTCAATAAAAGTTTTCAAAGTTGTAACAATTAATTTGGTTCACTTCCACAGTTTCCAGTTTAGGGTTAGGAGAGCAGAGGGCACAAATTTAAGTATAACATTGAGAGCTCTAAAGGCAGATCTGTCTCATGAAGAGGCACACCACACTAGGGAATACAGAAGTATATGTAAATATATAGCTATAGTGACAGGAAGGTTTGGGGTTATTTTGTGCAACCGGAGTTTCAGGTTATGTAATTCTGTGCAATTCCACCTCAAAATCTCATCCTGCAAAAGCTGGACCTTGAGCATTCCAATATAGCTGATATGCTAATCAGACCTGGCCTGGATATTGGCAAGCGTAAAAGATCTTTCAATCACAATCTTTGCGGTGTAATTAATATTTCCTCATTGTGCGTTCTAAAAAAATTTAAGGGGAAAACTGCTAGCAAAAAAATGACGAGGATGGCCAATATAATAACCAGAAGACCAAAGAATAGTCATCTAGTTTACAGAGTAATCCAAGTCCGAACACCTAAAGATCCACAATGATCAGAACAGAAGTCAGTCAATCTTTGTCCTCAGAGCAATATTAGCAGTTAGCAGACAAATAACTTCTCTTAAAAGTAAATCCTACTCTCACTTTATTTTAACTTTTTTGGCATTGACATCAACTCGCAATGCATTGCGTTTTATCACCACTGTAGCTCAAATACTACGAGTAGTTTCCATTATCCTACAATGAGATGCAAGAGGAAACTTTAGCGGATAAAAATAATCATGGAGAGTAGGAGTGTGATATCAATTACCAAAAGGCTTAGAGGTACTCTATTAGGCTAACCGATAATCAGATCACCGTCAGAAACCCCAGGCTGTCTGTGTAATCACTGACACAGAATGGAGATCACCAGGTGTAAGAAATGATTCCTCATTCCACCGCTATTTAACTAACATCCATCAACGCGTTGCATATCACATTACTGAAAGAAACTTCCCAATGTCCCTAGTGTACTTTCACTAGCTCCAATTTAATATAGCCAAAAACCCCGCCACACCTATTGTCTCTAAAGTACTTTTACTTGCCCAGAATTGATATGGCAAATACCTTGTCACATTTAGGGAAGCAAGTTGGTTCAGCAGGAGGTGAACCAGCCATATTACTACTGGTTTTGCTTGGCAGGTTTTTCATGTAATTTGTCTTTGTCTTGGTCCAAGAAATAGTAAAACAGATTCATCTCAATTTAGTTTTGCACTGAGGTATCTGACAAACCAAAATAACCTGAAAACCACTTTGTATAGAAGTGCAAGTCATATTTATGCAACATTCTTATGTAGCATTAGCTCAATTTTAAGCTTGTCAAAAAGTATTAGCTAAAACATGGAATTTTAATGTAATAAAAATAACTGATGCTCTAAAACTAATTTAAAGGCTTAATATAAATGATTATACAAAAATTGGCTGCTTGCATTGCATTTAAAATAGCAGGGTGTCTCAATTTCTAGTTCATGTATCTTCGCTTGAGGATTTTAAGAATCAGAAAATATGCTATGATTAGCGTGTTACGAAAAATTTAATTTACATTGCAATTATTAGGTATTTTAAATAAATTGACAAGTAACCTTTCAAATGTAATATTTTGTACCCATACATTACTCTTTCTTTCCATCACATAATGAAATATCAACTGCTTTTCATAGTTCTCTTTTTCTTCTTTCTTCATAGTCCTTTTCTTCGCTCTTCATAGTTTTCAATCTATAACGAAGGTCAAAATTACAAAGTCCACACACCATTAAACATATCAATAGGATTGCCAACTTGTTAAGTTTCACAGATAGTTGTTGATATTCAGCGATAAGTAATGATAGTTGATATTCAGCGATAAGTAATTCTCATCTTCAACAGTTTCTATGTTTTGTTCATGTAAATAGTGAGCATAAGTAGAATATATGACAAACATTACAAGACTTTAAAACCATCATGATTGAAGGGATAGAAAACATCAATAACAATGCTACTATAACATTTTATTGGGAGTCCAAGTACTGGGATAACTCGAGACTTGATTTCATGGAGTTCACACATATTTTACCAAATGTGAGAGAAATTCGCTAATTTCAAAAAAGCTTTAATTCACAAACCCACTGATACTAACAGATGAAGAAGTTGAAAGAACAAATTTATGATAATTTTGATGTGATTATAAATAATCTGACCAGAAGGGCAGATGATGTTAGTTTCATCCAATAAAGCAGTTCTACGGGAAAAAACAAAGAAAAGAAAAGGAAAGCATAACATAATATATTCCCCATCCATTAATCTCCAACTTCTTGCATATTTAAGCTGTTACCTGCTCGCTGGCGCCATCACTTTTAACTTCTACCTCAGCTAGAATCTCACCTTCTATAGCTTCTTCTGCTGAGCCTACATCACCAGAACCATCCTCTACAAAAGGAGTTTCTCCATCACTCACTTCTTCCCCCCCTTCCTCACTCGCAGCTTTAGCCTCAACAGCATTTTCAGTGTCAGCGCGTGACTCTTCCTCAGCATCCTTAGCCCCAAACAACTTAGATGATATTAAAGAAGAAACAGCAGCTCTTGCACTGTTCTTAGCCTTTTCTGCAGCTTCAGCCTCCCTGGCTGCAGCTTCAGCCTTCTCCTTTTCTACCTCCCCCATAAGCTGCACCAACTCCTCCTCCCTCCCTTCCTTCTTCAATTCTCCATTAACAAACTCCTGCAACTCCTCAGTGAAATCAGAGGCATCATCCCTCAATATTCCACCAACCATTTTGAGCACCTCATCAACCTTCCCAGCCTCAAATAATGCCTTCATCATATATTCATAGCTTGCAGTATCCATCCTAAGCTTCCCCACCATCAAATCATAAAATGATTTTGCCTCATCAATTTTACCAACTTTAATAAGCCCATCAACCAACTTATTATAAACCCCCAAATTCGGCCTCAGCTTAGAATCAATCATTGTTCTAAAATACCCTGCAGCATCATCAGGTCGATCCTCTTTAAAGCAAGTATCCATCAACAAAACAAAAGTGAACTCATCCGGGCTCACCCCCTTCTCACTCATACCATTATACAACTCCTCTGCTTCACCCAGCAAACCATTGTTGCACAATTGTTGGATCAAATTATTGTACGACAGAGTATCCGGACTACATCTCTTCTCACCCATATTCTTAAACACCTCAATTGCGTCGTTAAATCTCCCTTGTGCGCAATAGCCATCTACCATCACATTAAAGCTTCCCAAATTCACAGTTAGCTTGATTGGCGGGTTGTGCTCCGCCATTATCCTATCAAACAGTTTCAATGCCTCATCGAACTTCCCATTCTTGCTCAAAGCATCCAACACCGAATTGAACGCCACTGCACTCATCTTAATTTTAGAACTCTCGCCCACTGCCTCTTCGTAGCACTCCATAGCCTCCTTCTCCATTCCCCTCAAGAAATACCCTTTCATCAAGCTCCCATACACAACCCCATCAGAAACAGACCCTCCAAGCTTCTCCTTCAACTCCTCATAAAGCTTAAAAACGCCATCCGCATTCGAATTCTTCGCTTCACCCCACATCAAATAGCTATAAACAATTGGGTCTGCATTAAAACCCTTTGACAACATTTCATCTTTCAGCTCCAAAGCCCTTTCGACTTTACTATTATCGATAAGTCCTTTGATCAGAATGCGATAAGTAGTCGGAGACGGGTTAAAAGGAGCGTCATTTATCAGTTGCTTGTAGTGTTCCAAGGCGGTGTCAGTTTTCCGGCAATCCATATAAGCGTTAATCAAGAGATTGTGGGTGACCACATTGGCGGCGACGCCGGCTTGGGTGATGAATCGGTGGAGGGAGAGGAGGTCGGAGTAGCGAGACTGACGGAGAAGGGCGGCCATGACCGCGTTGCAGGTGAAGATGGTGGGGCGGCAGTTGGAGTAGATAGAGTGGCGGGTGTAGAGGGCTGCCTCGTCGAGATCATTCTGGCGGATTAGGGTTAGGATCTTGTTGTGGAGGTTGAGGCGATTTCCAGTTAGAATGGAGACATTTTCGGGTAATTTGGGGGCGTTAGGGTTTTGGGCTGGACGGGGTTGTTGGGATTGCTGAGGTTGGGAGTGGCGGAGGGAGTTCAGAGGAGGTTCGATGCGGAGACTACGCTTACGACGACGGCGCTCGGCGGCGGCCTCCTCCGGCGTGGCAAAGGAGAGGAAGCGGAGAGAGATGAACGATGGTAGCGGGTGGTGGTGATGGGGATAGGGTTTGGTTAAGAATTTCAGATGGGTAAAGAAGGTGGGTTTGGAGAGAGCCATGGTGAAGAGAGGGATATGAGGGTTTGTTGATGAAAATGAAGTAGAGAGAAATGGAAATGGAAATGGAGTTGTAGGGTTCTATAAGGGGTTTAGAAGCTGTGAGCAGTGTATACGGTCATGTGGTTCTCACTTTGCAGCCCAATAGTAGAGCTTTATTGGAGGCCCACGAACTTCACATCACTACGACCCACCTTGAATTTTACTAGTATGGGCTTTAGATATATGTAACATGGGTGGGTGGCCCATGTCTATATTGGATTGAACCAAAAATCTTCAGAAGCCAACTTTGGGCTTAATAAGCAGTCAACTTCATCTACTCATTTGCTATGGAAGTTATAGTTATTGATTTTTGATAGCACGAGTCATTTTGGACAATTCACAATTGGATAATACTGACTATTTTTACCGTATGGTTGACATTATAATGACATCAACCTTGCCACTAATGTCATCATTACGTCAGTTCCCATTTACATCAAACAGTTAAGTTAGTTCGATTGTCAGAGTACATGTTATTTATCTTTTACTTTTTTTATTCTTTGAAATGAATTGACTTCCAAAGTCACAGAGAGACATCTATTTTGGTTTTCCATTCATTTGGATAATTGTTTTATTTACTTTTCGTTAAAGTCCATAATTGCAATTTATAATCGGATGGCTAATTTTGATTAAGAAGTTAATATTCTTTTACTTTTTCGCAATGCTTCCAATTTTAATGCCTTTATAAGATTGTCTTCTCATTAATCAATCGTGTTGGTATGGACCACCTGGTATACACTCAATTTATTCAGTCATTATCTGCATGAAGTTATTAATTTCATAAGCTTGAATTTTTGTGACCACGCCAAGTAGTGGTCCCTGTTGACCTACTTAATAGAGTATGCCAAATATTAATAATTTGGGTTGGGTCTCTGGCCTGGGGCAATATGGATCGGACATGGTGACGGACAGGCGTAACTTGGGCTAAAGAAAGAGAATTAAATTGGGTTGATCGATCTTTCTAACTCCTAATAGAACTGTCATTATTATATGTCCTAATCGTCAATTATGATTACTGTCAATAATTGAAACAGAAATTATTATATGGTCTTAGGATCGGCCATCTCAATTTATCATGTGAATAAAATTGACACAAAGTTGACATATTTAATTACGTGTCAACTCCTCATAAACCTGAATTGTGTAATAATTCTCCAATCGAGGAAGCCCTCATTGTATATATGTATCTAACTGTTCGTTCCTCTATTTAATTCTTAGCCTGCCTTGTTACTTCATGGAACCAAATGGTTGGTTGGTATTGCTTCATATGTCATGACTTAATAAGCATGTTTCTGGCAATTAGATAAGGTCCCCATTTAGAATTAATTAGCTAGAAAAACACTTTATAGACATGACATGACTGTTGACTATCTAAAATTAGGTAGGACTGAAGTTCAAATATAAAAATTACACCTCATTATTCGTGCCAATCTCTTCGACATAAAATTCAGATACATCAATTTAAAAAATTTAATACTATTATGGACCGATCGTGAAATGGTAGTTTCACATAAGAGTAACATATTCCCATACTATATTGTACAACCGAAACATAATTGCTCCATGCTTTATGTATAATTAATTATTAATCCTATCACAGTGGATTTAATTTGATAGCCCAGCTAAGAATGCCACCCCGGTGGCCGGCAACCATGAAGATCCAGAAATAAATTGACCAACCGAGAACTTGCTCGCCTCCACCGACGACGTGATCACCCGATACCCCTTCCAGTTGACACGTTGCCCTACGGCTGCACCCGGACCGGAGTTCATGTACTCACCATAGTACAATGTATCAAGTGCAAACTTTCCGTTCCATTCCAACCATCCCCTAGGGCTAATGTGGTCACCCATGTTGGATAATAAGTACACGGTTCGCGAGTAGAGCTTCCACGGACGGCCTAGATACGTCGGGAAGCTGCCCTTGGAGGCCTCGAGTTCCGGTGTGGCTTGGATTTTGCATGCATGGATTGAAATGCCTGTGTTCTGATTAGGGTCTTTTCGGTTTTGGGCAGTGATGGTGTTCTTCTGACCACCCATTGGTTTTCTAGCGTAGAGGTTGCAGTTTTGAAAGACCACTGCTGCATTGCCAAATATGAAGTCTACTGTTCCATAGATGTCACATTCGCGGTAGAATTGGCGCTGGGAATGGACGTAGAGTGTGTCTTGGTAGCCGGTGATGCTGCAGTGGTAGACCACTGCGTGGTCGGCCCCTACTCGGAGAGCCACCGCTTGGTGCTTGCTCGGTCCAGCCGAGTTCTCAAACGTTATGTCCCGTGCAATGAAACCAGCTCCAGTGGCCGCTGTAGACGACAAGAAAAGGTCAAAAACTCTGAATCCCATATCACCTCTAATCGAGTATATACAATGAAGAACTTCGCAAACTCTTGGACTTTAAAATAATTATCAATATTAAAATATTTATATATTCTATTAACCTAGTGGAAAAATCACCTTGACTTTGTGTTGGATTCAATTTTTCATACCATTTAAAAAGTTGATAGCTAGATTAGTGCATTTGAATGAATGTTATTTAAAAAAAAAAAAAAAGAAGAAGAAGAAGAAGAAGAAGAAGAAGAAGAAGAGGTTAAAATCATGAAATAAAAGAGAACTAGGAATAGGACCAAGGCCTAACAATTTTGGTGTATGTATATGTGTGTCCCTACCTTAACGATGGTCCAAGATATACATGCAAAGCACATGCATGCACTACTGGTCCACTTGTCGACTAAACATGGCATGAGATACCCAATTATCAATGGCCCACCCCACCTCCATTATTTAACGCCATTTTCTGTGCGTGTTTTTTAAGCTACCAAATTTATTTAAAAGTCAATAATGCCTAGGATGAGATTGACTATCAGAACCACAAGTTTTGTATGCATATGAAAGAGAGAGAGAAGATAGAGGGGCTTTGATCATGTCATATTATGTAAATTGATGGACAATATATCTTAAGAGCTATATATACACACATTTATACATATACATATATATTGTGGTAAAAATAGTGAGCGTTGCAACTGTGCATACAATTTGCCTTCTGATTTATATTTCTAGTATAACAAATATTCATATTTGATCGAGTCCAATACTATTCCAGTATAATTAAATTGAGACTATAGCCTATAATAAATACAAAATTGAAAATATAACGCTATGCAATGATAGTGTTGAATCGTAATGAAATTGTTGGATAATATTTATGAAATAAATATATTGTATTAATGTAACAGTCTGGCGTTGAATTGTCAATTTATGAAATTTCACTGGACACGTGGACCAGAGAGAATTATGATTCAGCAACCAGAGCCATAAAAAACCGCTAGAGTACTATCCTTGAATTTAGTGCAAGAAAGAGACAAAAAGGAAAATCATCCTAGATCTACGCACCAAAGTCGGTGGCAGTTATTGAAATTCGAGATGTATTCAAAGGGTAATTGCGTAAATCAAATGACACGCAACGTGAAGCAATATCCTTTTGGCTATAGATGGCGGCGACCAACAGAAGCACAAGACCACGCTCTTAGAAGAGACAGCCCACGTGGTGTTTTTTTTTGTTTTTTGTTTTTTTTTTTAAGGCTTATGGAACATTTTGGCTGAAAGAATAAAGTTATTCCTGATTTCGACCATCAATTATTCTTGTTCTGAAAAATAATAGTAATATATAAAAATGCTTTAATTCATATAAAAATTAAACCAAAAAACTTTGATTTGTTTAGAACTCCAACCTAATATATATATATATATATATATCATAAAATTTGATACAAATTTATTCTTAATTTTGAATTAAGATATGAAATTTTAATGTTTAATCCTAATGCAATTTTCTAGAAATTTGTCAACTACCTTGTCAATATTAAATAAATAAAAAAAAAGAAAAAGAACTTAATAAAGCACAAATTACTTAATAAAGCATTAAATAAAATGGAAAAAGGGGAATTTACCAAAAGATGCAGTGCGGAATGTCGTCACGTGGTTAAATACACTTTTGCCACCTGTGATGACGGTTCTGCCCTTCCCATCTCCTATAAACATCAAATTTCTTTTCTTCCTCCCCACCTTCAAATTCTCCTCTTCGTACCTAATCAACAGGAATGAAGTAGTTAGCTTATTTATTTATTTATTTATTTATTATTATTATTATTATTTTAAAAATAGCTTCATTTGAACCCTAGTCCAATATTAAATTTCAAAACTCCCTACATTATGTTATTATAATATTCTAGTGCCTTTCAATCTTATCCTTTGATTGGTTCAAAAGATGATGATGATGGGATAAGATTGTCTCCATGCATCATCACTTTTTCTTTTGTCAATTCGTTTGTGAGTCTGTGACATCCATCATGTATATGCTACATTAATTGATACTCCCTATTTCCTTAAACAATATTATATTATATTATTTTTTTTTAAAATTCAAAACAAAAACTAACTAAATAATACGAATAGTGTTGAATCACCGAATCCATTTGATAATTATGTTGTATTTGGAAACATGAATCTGTAAAGAAATTCAGTTTAAATTAATTTTTTTTCAATTTCAAAATCAAGGTGTGAATTTAATTGATACTTCAAAACATAAAATTAAAAAAGAGAAAAAAAGAAAAAGAAAAAAGGAAGGGGTAGTATAGAATAAAAGAAATACTATCAAATACACAGAAACAATTTTACTTTCTACATATGATTCATTATGCCGTACTTTCTTTTATAAATGAAAATAAATTCCAGTATCAAATAATAAAGGTGCCTGACATAATTATTAGAAAATCTAATTAGTTCAAGCAGAAAAGTCTATCATTTCATAATGACAAAACAGAAGTCAATAAGGTAATCTCTGGCTACGTGTAATGATCAAAAGTAAGCAATGAAAAGTTTTTAAAAAATAAAAAATAAATAAAACTTTTATTGTTTTTTCCATCTGAACTTACTTTCCTGCCTTCACATAAATGATCGTTCGGCGATCACTATTCTCCGGCGCCTTCTTAATCGCCTCCGCGATCGTCTTGAACGTCCCGTTGCCACTACTAGACACCACTATATCGGCCTGAATGGACGACACGGGCATTGCCAACAACGCTCTCTCCTTCCGAGTCAACCAGGTTGGAAACTCGGAATATTCCGGCGACCCCATCAACCTCCGACGCCTGTTCTGTATCGGAATATCCCCGAATTCATCGCCGTCACTGGCCGCTGCAAATATTGCCAGGCAATTACTCGCCAACTCGGACAAGTCCATCAGCTTCTCCTCCATCTGATCCTTCACGTACCCATTCACGTCCTCGAATCCCTCCCTACACGTGTCCTGGTTCGTCAGCGCCGCGCTCAGCCACGTCATCACGTCCTGCGTGGACCCTGCAGACGGACCGTTGAGTTCCGGTGACGGCGCGACCAGCGACAGAGACCGTGTGAGCTGGTCCACCGAGTCCTGCAACAGCTCGAGACAGTCCTCGTATGCGGACCTTACATGTGTGTCCATGTTGATGTTGCTGATGTCGGATGACACGTACAGTGCTTTCCCGAAACGTTGGAGTGTCACGTTAACAGAAATGTGGACGAGGTCCTGGTCATTGGCGGTGAGTGCACCCGGGAAGTCGAGGAGCGAGTTGACACAGAGAGTCGGGTAGCGAGTTTTGCTGCAGGTTCGGGATATGGATTGGGTGGGCTTTCGGTGATACATACCTCCGGTTTTGTCCGAGGCTTTGGTTCGGAGTCCCAAAATGAGTGCCACCGAGACAGCGGAGGCAACAATAAATGTGAGAGCAAGAGCGAGAAGCAGCTTTTGCTTCCGACTTCTTGTTCCCTTTTGTGTCATTGACGTGGCTTCTTTATGCTGGCTCGGGATTGGCTCGGACTTTGATGAGTTAGGCACGGTTGATCCGAGCCTACCGTACTCCATTTTTTTAATAGAAAGAAATGAAAAACCCCAAAGTATGGAGAAAATGCGGAAGAGATAAACAATGTGAATTTAGAGAGAGAAAGAGAGGAATAGAAGGTGGGATATAATGGGAGAAGGAACGGAGAATTAGGAGTTTCTATATATGGGCGGTGGATGGAAGTGGGAGAGTGTGTGTGTGTGTGTTATTGCGTGTGTTTGTGTGTGAGGACTAATAGAGGTTGGTGTAAGGTCGATGTCGAGAGCATTAGCTGTTCTCTACTTAGCACTAGTAGTGATAACTGGAGCACATGCATGTAGAAAACGATCTGTGGTGGTCTTATATTCTTCAGCCACCGATTCCATGTCTTCCATGTCTATGGAATCGTCACATGGAATCGTCACATGGAATCGTTACTGAGTGGAGAGGTAAAATGCTCCTATTGAAATTGTAGTATCACGGTTTGAGTTTGAAAGTGATATTTTGTACTCAAACAACATTGTTACAAATTACTAATATGCATGGTTTGTCTATGATTAATTTTTTCACTCCCAAGTGGGATTTATACATATTGGGTAATATATTTCTATTATTAGAGGTTATAATTGAGTGGACGTCCCTATCTAGAATACCACCCTCCAAGGATTTTAAATATTTGTTCCACCCATCAATAATCTTTGAATAAATTATTTTAATAAATATATGAGTAATTCAAAAATATGACACATTTAATTGTCGGACTCTATGTCACAATTTATTATTATATGATCATTGTTGTGGTAGCAGAATGTTCAACTTTTTATTAGGACCAAAAAAAAAAAAAAATTAATTGTGGATTTTGGGTGGATGTTACCATGATTCTTGCTTTTAGGTATGGTTTGGAGTAATCATCAAAATGGGAATTTTAGGTATGGTTTGGAGTAATCATCAAAATGGGAAAATTGAAAGTTTGGAAGTAATAGAAGTAAGCAAATCTTTTCTTTTTATTATAATTCCCCAATTGAATAGATCAAACTGTGAGTAACCACCCCACCCCACTCCACCTATATATTTATTTCAATATTTTAATTATTGGGCGATCAATTTGTTCCTCGTCAACTCTTTTTACTAACATACTCTATTTGCAAATTAATCATGAATGGATGGGAATTTAGGCCTAGAGATGCATTGGAAATGAATCAATCCAGTAATGGCCCCACTAACATTTGTAAATATGGTCATGATAATTAATTAATCCTAGTTAAGGTGTGGGTGACAATTCTTCCTCTTTTGGATCATGATGCTTAATTTAACCCATGAACTTTAAACCTTAATTTACTCCATAAGACGTACTGTAATCAATCCACTAATTTTATGTCTTATTTTGTTTTCTTTTTGTTCAAAATTGGTGGACACATACATGATCAAATTAAGCATTTGTATATGATGATCATGATAATCCTAGTTAAGGAGTCGGTGCCTTTTCTTCCCCTTTTGGATCATGATGCTTTAACCCATGAACTTTAAACCTTTACTCTATACACTATATTAATCAATCCACTAATGTTGGCTTTATTTTGTGTTCTTTTTGTTCAAAATTACAGTTAGTCTTATTCATTTTTTATTTCTTTATTCAATTGAAAATTTTAAGTAGTTTACTAGTAGGGATTATAAATGAGTTTAATCAAGCTTTATTTTGTTTAAGTTCAGCTTGATCAAGATTGTGGCGAGTTTGAAAAGTCAAGTCTGGACTTAACTCATCATTATTTTGACGAGTTCTAAAAACAAGTCGATCACGAAGTTCTTGAACAATTTAATTTATTTGTTGTCCCGCTAAACAATAGTGATAGAAGGAACAGAATGAACAAATACTGACCCAATTAAGTTTTAATATTATTTTGTGCAATGTGTTCTCAAACTTGATTGATCCTCGTTCCTGTTGTGAATGTAGATCTCGTTCCTGTTGTGAATGTAGATCGTTAGGATAACATACTTTATCGTAGTGGACATACATAATGAAAAAAATAATAATTACATAAATGATGTAAAATTATTACATAAACTATAAACTATCTGAATTGTATAAGTAATCTAAATGGTTGAATAAGTGAACTTTTAAAAAATAATTTCTCATTCCCATGCGCTTAAACATTAGTTAAGATTCTTCTCTCCTTCTTTTCGGCTCTTTCTGGGTCTTTGGAGATTTCTTGTTTGTGATGTGAAATAATTTAATTTCTTTAAGCATTTTTTTTTTGTTAAAAGGGTATTCTTTTTTGTTAAGAGGGTATTCTTTAAGCATCTTGCTTCATCGTAATCTCATAAAAGATACGATATTTCAACATAAGTTACACAAAAGTGTGTTTTTAAAGCAAGTAAAAGCATATGAAAGATAAACCAGTTTGGATATTAGAAAACCAAACCATTCACTACAACGCAAAAGTTATTTTCCTCCACTCTCTTCTTGCGTGTGACATATATAGAAAGCCTCAAAAGTAAGCTTTCTTTATTTCTTTTGCCTTTTGGCTCTAAAATCTAGACCATAACTGACAGTAGCTTATAGCCTTGTACATATTAAATGGGAGAAAAAATGTATTAATTATGAGAGAAAGGAAGAGGAATTACAAAGGCACGGGTTTAAAACTAGAAATAACATAAAAAGGGTAAGATTATAGATTACGTATGTATAATACTCTATTGATCCCGTGACAATGAGAATCTCTTACTCAAAACTCTAATTTTATTTTAAAGATTCAGTCTTTATATATTCAAGAGGTATAATAAGTACAGAACTAACCTTTTTATTCATACTCGTGTCCTGAAATAACCTTTTTATTTGTGTCGTTATAATTAAAGAAGAATCATGCATGACAATCACCATCAAACCATAATCATCAAAAAGTTATACTGTTAGTCATGGCAATACCAGTTGGGCATAAGGCACTGTTATATCACTATCATCAACAGATTACTAATCATGACCATATTATTACAATAACAATAATACTAGTAGTAATTAAGGTAGCACAGATTGTGTGAAAAGGAGCAATGCTATCCATCACTAGTGTCTTTCACCATATCAATATATTGCAGAGAATATATATATATATATATATATATATAATTCCTGGTGTTAAGTTTTATCCTCGTTTCCATTAAGGTGACATGCATGAAAACAATTTGATTAGAGAGGTAATTGACTTGAACATCATTATTTTGTTAAGAAATGACTTTAATTATTTGATCAGACAAGCTGATTCAATTTGCACATTACAAATCAATGAGCTCAGCTGATAAGAGAAAGTTTGGCTCGAGTACCTTACCCGAAAAAATAAACAAATTTTTTTTTTTTTGGCTTGATTGGGGGTCCATTCATGTTCATGTTGCTTTGATTACTGCTTAAATCAAGCTGAAATATATTTTTAAACTGAGTGCATGGCTAGCTTCATTGGTAATTAAATTGAGTTAAGCTTGTGCAACTCCTTGCTCAACTTGTTAATGAAAGCTTGTGTACTTTGAGTTAAGCGATAGGGTTGTTCTCTGTTGTCCTTAGGAGTCCGATTTCGAGCCTTCGCATCTCCCATCAACGGATATATATTCAAACTTATTCCTAAATTCTACTCAATATGACTGATTCAAGCATGCTTAGCTTAACTGAATTCATTTATAATCTAGACACCTATCGTAATGATAAACAGCTTGTCTCATGATAAAGAATTTAGTCGGTTGAATGACTTTTCTGAATCTTATATTAGCTACTTTTTTTTTTTTTTTTTTTTTTAATCATTTTATACATCCCATATAGGTGTTTGGTACAATCTAGTTTGTATCACTTAATCAATATGGCCCCATGATGAGTACGCATGAGATTACCTAAATCAAAGATATTAGACATCACATAATTTGATTGAACACACCATCCTCCATAATGCACCAAGTATTAACTACACAAGCACTATAAACATAATTTACAATGCACTATTAGAAGATCAGAAACCCAATATTTCTCCAGTATGTTAGGTCAATGCTTGACCTGTGAACATTACGAACATATAGATGTATGTATATGTATATATATATGTGTGTGTACTTGGACCACATGCAGTGGTGGTTCATACATCTATATGTGGACCATATGCAAAGCACAAATAATTGGCTTAAATGCAGCTTGCAATGAAATATATATGAACTATGGAGTACATAGACAAGCTAACCACTCCATTATTCAATTCTCATAATCTTTTTCAAGTCTTTAACGTTATCTTATTGGAGTCATGTACGAATCTTTCGGGGTTTCTCAAGATAGACAGATTAAGGGGGCCCTGAAATTAGAATCTGATGTTACATAAATGAATTTGAGAAAAAGACATTGGTGCATATATTTAATATGCCTAAATTAAAGTTTTTCCTTCCCTTTATTTTGTTTCGTTTTGTTTTTGGCGTGGAGGGTTAAATATTTAAATGAAGGTTATTCAATCAAATGTTTGTTGCCTTGGATAAAAAAAAATATGTATAAAAAAAAAAAAATTCAAATGTGGTAAGGAGAAAATATTCGAATGGAGATTACCAACTCTGAGGTCAAACCATATATATATATATATATATATATATATATATATATGTATATGTATATATCGGCTAAAGCTATTTGCCTCTTCAAAAGTTCCCTCAGATCCCGTACTTTTTTTTTTTTTTGGGTAAATCAACTTCAATAAAAGGAAAAAGGAAAAAATTGTACACGGGAATGGGCCTAAGCCCAAGGCCCGAAGGCAACAAACCCAGCTAGCCACAGATGGCCCAGCCAAGCAAAACAAAAACTGTTGCTACTGCAACTATATAAACACAGTTGCAGCAGCAACGAGCAAAACAACATTATCGTCCCTCACCCAAAAACTGAACTAGGAAGACTCCACGTAGCTGCAATAGATCTTGCAGCTTTCGAATCACGCATCTTGCAGGACATGAGACGGTTCCTTACATCGGTGTAGATCAACTAAGTAACTGAAGCAATGGAGGCCACTTGATTCATATCATTTCGTCTATTCCTCTATCTTCATATGAAGTAGATAGATGTAGTGAGGCAGAGCTTGTACACATAAGCATCCGGAGCTTTGGTTCCATTTTTCCACATAGACACAATCCAGTTGGTAATGTCATACAAATTGGAATCCCCAACATAAATCTCACAGAGGTGTTGGAAAAACATCCAAACCTCCGACGCAAATTTACACTTGAAGAAGAGATGGTGATGACTCTCGGCAGCAGCAAGGCACAGAGAGCAGTAATTTGGAGCAATTTTCTTTGCCAGAGCTGGGCTGTCCCTAGTCTTGAGCTTATAACTGAGAGCAACCCATGCAATGAAAGAATACCGCAGGATATGGTTTGAAAACCAGATAGCAGAGTGCCA